GGGCCAGCCAGACAGTGCCCGAGGTGCCGCTGCCCACTTGCCCCAAGCGCCGCAAGTCACGCAGCCTCGGGCGAATCAGCGTGGCTCAGCGTTCCATTTGGGCGGCGGCTTGGAAGCTCAATTTGTCTGGTGGGTTGGAAGGAAAAGCAAAAGGACAAAGACCATTTTGGAGGTTGCCCCTCTTTTGAGACATAGCCATTTAGTGACTACCTCAAGGTAGGCTTAGGCCCAGCAAATGTGGATTAGCCAAAAAGGGGAACTTGGTTGAAAGCCAGCTTGCAGTACTCAGCAAACGGAATCCTGGTGAAACAAAACGCCTTTCGACATGCAACTAAAACGCCGCACGAAACCCCTCCAGCTTCCCTCAAAAATGGGGATACTGCCCCAGTTGCATGTTGGTAGTTTGAGCATCCCAACACCAAGGAACAAGTCCTTGCGTGGCCCATGTGAATCCGAGCAAGAACTGGTTGGTTTTTCTGTATGGTTTCACCAAAAGAAAAGGGCCGCTTGAGCTGCGCTCAAATCTTCAAATCCCATGGCTTGTGAGTTGTCAGTTTGGGCCTTCCACAAAGGGGACAACTGGAAATATATCTTCGGTTTCCTTTTGACTTCCTTCCATTTGCTTCAGCTGGAAAAAAACAACATATTCTAGTAGTGCTAGATTCTCTTTAAAACCAACAAAGGGAAAATATATAACATATTCTCAAGCAAATGGAAGCTTCCGTTGAACATAATTGCTACTTTCGGCCCAGAATGGGAGCTTCAGGGACCCCTCGTAATGTTCTTCTTTCAAAGCAACCCTTCCCCCCACAAAACAGACATGAGGACATGATCAAGACCCTCCTTTTCCTGTGCACTTTTCTAGGTGTTTGTTGGGATACTTACAGTGTGCTGGTTTGCCAACTTTCGCATACAAGTGCCTCGTCTGAAAAGATGCGCCTTGAACAGGAAGCGTTTCATTGTCACCCTTTAAGACTTGACCACCCTCCTTCTGCCCGAGGCCAAAACTGGGAATGAATCTGCAAAAAAAAATCAAGCAACACACTATCAAAGAAGCAACAACCAACAAAGAACAAACAAAGGGAAAGGAACAATTAAGCAACACCCTGTGAAGGGGGAAAACTAGACCAGACGCATAAACGGTCATCTTAGGCCGTTTCGCCATCGCTTACAAGTGAGTGCAACAAGGAACCAGTATTTCAACTTGAACATCATAATCAGTGCCAAATACGTACGAAACAAGAAACTCTTTCCCTAACAGGTACTAAACAACGTTAATTTCTCCTCAACACGAAACCAACAAAAACAAAAAAAACATCACAAAACCACAAACACCCAACGGGGGGGGCGGGGGGGGGAGGCGTCCCCCGGGCCCCTCTTGGCCCCTCTTGGCCCCTCTTAGCGACTGGGGCTGCGGGCTGCACCCCGGGATCCTGCAGCAGCGCGCGGTGCCTCAGCTGCTCCGCGGCGCGGCTCTCCTTCGCCAGGGCCTGGCGCGTTCCGCGCGTGGCGTGCGTCCCGTCGGTCCCTTCCGTCGGGTACCCGTGGGCTCCGCGGCTTCCGAGGCGGGGCTTTTCACCTGGAGGTTCAGATGGCAAGTCTACAAAAGGCCCAAAACAGATTGGGTGAAGTGGAGGTTCAGATGGAACATCAGGAAATCAACCAACTTGGCTGGTTGGTGGTTGGTGGGTGATGTGTCTGGTGGTGGGTGTGCAAAGTGACTTTGGATGTGGCCACATGGGAACATGGAGAAACATGGAAAGCGACGTCTTTCCACTTGGACCATTGGATGTTCAGTTGGGAAAACCTACAAAGGCCCCCCAAAAAAACTTCTTCTTTTTTTGTGAAAACACCTTGCCTGAGGTTTGGTCATTGTTTCGAGGTTGGATCCGGCCCCCAAACCATGGCGAACCATGGGGGTTGTAGGGCTGTCCTTGATACCAAAGAAATCCCCTAACAATGTGGTGGGTGGACAAACTCCGCGCGATTCGATCGGCACCAATTGGTAGCTGGCTTGTCACAGGCTCTTCATGCCAACTGGTGCCGATGCGATCCTATGGGCCGAACACTTTGTCCACAGGTGGGAATCGACCCATTGGAGATGCTGCCGGTGCCTGCAGCAGGCTTGACCGATCCCAGAACCAGACTTCTCCCTCGGACGCCACCTCAGTCTCCGAGCGGCCCTCTGGGGGGTGGGGGGGGGGCAGGCGGGCGTATCTCTGGACACAGGATAAGCCAAGGACAAGCCGCGGATTTTTCGCCTTCTGGGTTTCTATTAAATCTCCCCATAGCGCTCCTTAGAGGTCTGTGACTAAAGGAACAAGCTGGTGTGCAATCTGGGCGCTTGCCAACTTCAGCGTGTGGGAGGGATTCAGGCTTTAACTTTGTTGGGGCAACTCTGTCGCCTATAAGGCCGCTGCCCCTTGGCCGAAAATCCCAGCGACTAGCAACCTCCACCTTAACAAGAAATGTATGAGACATTTCCACTAAAGAGTCAAGCAACGGCATGTCTGTGTGTGTGAGTGCTTCAGTCAAAGCGAGTTGAACCTAGTGCAGCACCTCAGAGGGTCAAACATTTGCTCCCCCACACTGTTCAAACAAGCTGCTTTTGGCTTCCACTTAACCGAAGGGATAGGGCTGGTCGTGTTCTGTCGTGTTTCAAACAGCTTTGCAACCAACCCTAATCTTGATCTTTCATGGTCAAGCTCGCAGTCATGATCAAACCGGGCATTAAAGCGGTCCAAGGGATGTAAGCAAACTACACGGCCGGATCTTCGCGCCTGTTGCTGGCAAGGGGACTGTCCCTCCTCACGTTCTTTTTTCGTTTATGCCCAGTGTCTTTGCAACATGTCGACATGCCCCCTACCCAAAGGGAAGGGGGTCAGTTCCACTTTTCAAGTCTCCCCCCACCAAACAGAGCACGGAAGACAAAGAAATCCAGGGGTTGGCGGCTTCCCTGTAATGAGTGTTTCAATCGTCGAGGGTACCCCCGTTTTTGGGTGGCTTGAAAGGGAACCCGCGCGGAATTGATGCCATGTTGGGGTCCAAATCCTAAAACATGGAACCGCACCCCTTTTCTATTCAGATGGGCACGGGTTGACTGGGCCCTTCCGATCTCAAGTAAGGCCCCAGCCATCTTGAAAGATGTAGACCAGGGCTCCAGAAACAGCACGGCTCTTTCGCCGAAGCAGCCTCCTTGAATCATCCTGGCAATCTGCCCCAAAGTTGTGCCCAATCGATCCACAGGAGGCATGCATCAGAAGCCCCCCATTTCTGTGGGACTTGGCCTTGTCCAAAACTTGTTCAAAGTCTCCATGAACAAGAATGAGTAGTCTTGCGCAACTCCGCCAAACTGGGCGTGTGTGTTTTGCTTGGCTTGCGACCCGGCCTCCTCACCGGATGGCCATCTTTTATCATCTCCACCTTCCAGCGATCGGTTCTGGGGAAACACACAAGGGATGCGGAAGGAGCAGGGAGGCAGAAAAAGCCAAGTAAGCAGGGACATGAACAATGCCAATGTTAACTTCGGATTAATCCGGACCACAGGAGGAAAGGGGTGGGTCCCAGTCGGTAAGGACAATAACAATAATGATAACAATGAAATAATCGAGGGTCACTAGGGTCCTCCAGATTAGTCCGAAGTCAAGATTAATGATACTTCCCTGCTAGTTGGTTCTTTTGACACTCGAGTGCATGCCAAGTTGTCCATAGCAAAAGGCAACCCGGTTTGGGGACCTTGTATTAGTGGACAGCTTGTCGTTTCTTCGGGTGAGATTCAAAACTTGAGGGTGTCTTCGTTTCTGAGTTGTGCTTGTTCTTCTCAAAGGCTTCCTCTCTCACTTGGCCAGTGACCAGCCCCAAGCGTCAACTTTTTGGGCAGGAGGTCCCTGCCATGTGAGAGGCCTGCCCCGCCGCGATGACGTAGAAGTGGGATCCCTTGTCACCTCTGCGGATTTGGAGTCGCACTGGCAACTTGTGGGCTTCCCAAAAACTTCGGACGCCCTTGTGGTCGGTAGTTACAGGGAACCAAGCCAAAAAAAACAGCACTTGACAAAGCAAGGGTAGCCTCAAAAAAGGGTACCCCAAACCCAGGGTATCTAACCAAGGCAAAACAAACAACGCTTGAGGGGCGAACAAAAAATGAGGTTCACCATAGCGCAGCCGATCCAATTCCCCCACTGTTCCAACCCGCTTGCGCAGTGTCACTTCCATTTGCTCAAGTTCGAACAAATCCTCCAAGACACGCAGCAGACACAGACACGCAGGGACAATTTCCAACATTCTTAAGCAGGTTTTCATGTTGAGACGCGCAGGGACAATAAACTGGGACCCCCCTGTCAGATTCCATGTGAGTTGGTGGGAGGGAAACACTACTCGTATCAGCAAAAACATGTCACAACGTGTGGGGCGCCTTGCTTCACGATCTCTTCGCCCTTTCGGTAGATCTGCGTCTTGACGCAGTGGAAGAGCACTTCCAGGGTCGCCTCAATGGCTCACTGCCGGCGGAAAAAGCGTCTGAGCAGTTTGCCGGCGGCGCTGCTGGCCCTCTTCATGGGAACCACCGCCAAAAAAGAAAGAAACAACAACAAAACAGCAGACTCAGCTGAAGGATATGTTTTATGCATAAATTAACCCGACTTGAACTCAGAAACTATGGAATGATATATGTTTGATATTAGAAATCATTTGTCGGATACACATTGGGCAGTTTGAAGATTTGTGTTGGGTCCAAGTACCAGGGGAAGTGTGTTTTGTGAGCTGCTTGCTCGCAGTGCGCCCTTTCTTCTTTGGAGTTGCAACGCATGCGGTTTCTTGCACCAGCTCAACCAACCGGGAAAACAACCCCCATAGAAAGGGAAAACAAAATCGAGCATGTTTGGCGCTACATGCAAGGCAACACTTGGAGGAAACAAAAACACTGCGCAACAGTGCTCTTTACCCTACCAAGGTCGGGTGACCCTAAATTGGTTCTAACAAATGGGTGCTAGGATGCTGCACGCATTGTCCTTTGGCGCAAGCGATCAGACGCTATTCATTGATAACCGTTCTAATGGGCCTCCTGACAACGAACTTCACATCTTGGAACAACAGAAAGCCAAACTTGGAGAAAACATCGCAACGCAGCATAGTCTTTACGCGCAGTTTGGTGGTCTTCCACTGCCACAAGAACCAGGGCTTCAAATCCAAATCCAGTCACCACCGGGCTCCAAACCATCAACCAAGGCCTACCCGAAAAGATGCAGAAAAAACAGGCGGAAAACCTGAAAACGGCGAATTATGATTCCACCGAAAACTCGAGAAAAAAAACAAGACACCAGAAAGCCATAGGCATCCCACCGAAAACAGATCGACGGACCAAAAACACCGAAGAGAACGCCGCGGAGATCGCCTCATGGACCTGGCGGAAGATGGAGACCCGGGACAGCACGGCAATGACCCGGGCTTTCATCCCCGCCGAGTCGTCCGTCCTGATGGGACGCGAAGCCGATTCGAGTTGCTTCGCTGAAGCTTAGGGGGCGATTCGGACAGCAGTTGGGTGTGGTTGCAGTCTGTTCCTTTTACAAAAGCAAATGGCCGAGCTGATTTGCTCCAGAGAGTTGAAGGGTGTTTGCATAATGAAAGCGGAGGACTTCGTCCGTCAACAGTATGGAGGATTCCCGAAAACCACTCGGGATTGTATTTGTTGCGGCTGTTTCAACAAACAAGAGGGACATTGCAAGAAACATTGTTTGCCACATGTCAAAGGCATTTTCAGGTCTGGGTTTTGGAGGTAGTAGGGAGGTTATATATCCGCCGACAACAGACAGCGTGTTGGACACAAAAAATGCTCCTTACCTCTTTACCTGTTACCCCTCCCCTAACCCACCATTTCAGACTATTGCGGGGGGGGGGGTCCACGTACCACGCGGTGATTCGAAGACGCTTCACTAAATCTGTTCATTGTGCGGGCTTGCGCAACTCAGTTTGTCAAAAACATTGGGGTGTTCGATTCCGCTTTCGCATCCTTAGCAGCTCCAGCATCACATCGCCAGCATCACCTGCATCATCCGCATCAGCGCCTGCCAAGAATGCGGATGATGCAAGTGATGCTGGGGATGTTTCCCATGCTGCTGTGGGAAGAGAAGGGTGGAGATCTTGGGGGGAAAAGGCCTTAGGGGGGAAACGGGGGAAAGGATCTTAAGCGGGAAAGGGGGGAAAAGATCTTAGGGATGCAAAGGGAGACGACCTCAGGGAAAAGGACTTAGGGAGGAAAGGGGGGGAAAGATCTTTGGGAGGAAAAGGGAGAAGAACTGAGGGTGGGAAAAGGCCTTAGAAGGAAAAGGGGGGAAATACATGATCTCAACAGGGAACTGGGGGGGGGGAAAGATCTTAGGGATGAAAGGCAAAGATCTGGGGCAAAAAGGCCTTAGGGGGGAAGGGGAGAAATGATCTCAACAGGGAAAGGGGTGGAAAAGATCTTAGGGAGGAAAGGGAGAAGATCTGGGGAAAAAAGGCCAACAGAAAAAGGGGGGAAAAGATCTTAGGAAGGAAAAGGGAGAAGCTCTCAGGGGGGGGAAGGCCTTGGGAGGGAAAGGGGGGAAAGGATCTCAACAGGGAAAGGGTGGGAAAGATCTTAAGGAGGAAAGGGGGGGGAAGATCTTAGGGAGGAAAGGGAGACGATCTGGGAGAAAAGGACTTAGGGGAAAGCCTAACAGGGAAAGGGGGGAAAAGATCTTCGGAAGGAAAAGGGAGAAGCTCTCAGGGGGGGGAGGGGGAAAAGGATCTCAGCAGGGAAAGGAGAGGGGGGGGGAAAGATCTTAGGGAGGAAAGGGAGGAGATCTGGGGACAAAGGCCTTAGAGGGGAAAGGGGAGAAATGATCTCAACAGGGAAGGGGTGGAAAAGATCTTAGGGAGGAAAGGGATCTAAGGACGGAAAAGGGAGAAGCTCTCAGGGGGGAAAGGCCTTAGGCGGGAAAGGGTGGGAAGGATCTCAACAGGGAAAGGGGGGAAACAATCTTAGGAAGGAAAAGGGAAAAGATCTGGAAAGGCCTTAAAGGGAAGAAGGGAAAGGATCTCAACGGGGAAAGGAGGCAAAGGATCTTAAGGAGGAATAGGGAGAAGATCTCAGCGGGGGGAAAGGCCTTAGGAAGGAAAGGAGGGAAAGGATCTCAACAGGGAAAGGGGGGGAAAGATCTCAGTGAGGAAAGGGAGAAGATCCCAGGCAGGGAAAAGGCCTTAGGGGGGAAAGGGGGAAAGGATCTCAACAGGGAAAGGGGGCAAAGGATCTTAGGGAGGAAAAGGGAGAAGATCTGAAAAGGCCTTAGGGGGAAAAGGGGGAAAGGAGCTCAACAGGGAAAGGTGGGAGAAGATCCTAGGGAGGAAAAGGGAGAAGATCTTGGGGGGAAAGGGGGAAAGGATCTCAACCAAGGGAAAAGATCTTGGGGAGGACAAGGGAGAAGATCTCAGGGGGGGAAAGGCCTTAGGGGGGAAAGGGGGGAAAGGATCTCAACAGGGAAAGGGGGCAAAGGATCTTAGGGAGGAAAAGGGAGAAGATCTTGGGGGGGAAAACGCCTTAGGGGGGAAAGGGCGGGAAAGGATCTCAACAAGGAAAGGGGGGAAAAGATCTTAGGAAGGGAAAGGGGGAAGATCGCGGGGGGAAAAAAGGCCTTAGGGGGGAAAGGAGGGAAAGGATCTCAACAGGGAGAGGGGGGAAAACATCGTAGGGAGGAAAAGGGAAAAACTCAGAGGGAGAAAGGGCCTTAGGGGGGAAAGGGGGAATGGATCTCAACAGGGAAAAAGGCAAAAGATCTTAGGGAGGAAAAGGGAGAAGATCTCAGGGGGGGAAAGGCCTTAGGGGGGAAAGGGGGGAAAGGATCTGAGCAGGGAAAGGGGGGGAAAGATCTTAGGGAGGAAAGGGAGAAGATCTGGGGGCAAAGGCCTTAGGGGGGAAAGGGGAGAAATGATTTCAACAGGGAAACGGGTGGAAAAGATCTTAGGGAGGAAAGGGAGAAGATCTGGGGGAAAAAAGGCCAACAGGGACAGGGGGGAAAGATCTAAGGAAGGAGAAGCGAAAGGCCTCAGGGGGAAAGGGTGGGAAGGATCTCAACAGGGAAAGGGGGGAAACAATCTTAGGAAGGAAAGGGGCGGGGAAGATGTTAGGGAGGAAAGGGAGAAGATCTGACTTAGGGGGGAAAGCCCAACAGGGAAAGGGGGGAAAAGATCTTAGGAAGGAAAAGGGGGGAAAGCCTAACAGGGAAAGGGGGGAAAAGATCTTCGGAAGGAAAAGGGAGAAGCTCTCAGGGGGGGGAAAGGCCTTAGGGGGGAAAGGGGGAAAAGGATCTCAGCAGGGAAAGGGGGGGGGAAAGATCTTAGGGAGGAAAGGGAGAAGATCTGGGGACAAAGGCCTTAGAGGGGAAAGGGGAGAAATGATCTCAACAGGGAAGGGGTGGAAAAGATCTTAGGGAGGAAAGGGAGAAGATCTGGGGGAAAAAAGGCCAACAGGGAAAGGGGGGAAAGATCTAAGGAAGGAAAAGGGAGAAGCTCTCAGGGGGGAAAGGCCTTAGGCGGGAAAGGGTGGGAAGGATCTCAACAGGGAAAGGGGGGAAACAATCTTAGGAAGGAAAAGGGAAAAGATCTGGAAAGGCCTTAAAGGGAAGAAGGGAAAGGATCTCAACGGGGAAAGGAGGCAAAGGATCTTAAGGAGGAATAGGGAGAAGATCTCAGCGGGGGGAAAGGCCTTAGGAAGGAAAGGAGGGAAAGGATCTCAACAGGGAAAGGGGGGGAAAGATCTCAGTGAGGAAAGGGAGAAGATCCCAGGCAGGGAAAAGGCCTTAGGGGGGAAAGGGGGAAAGGATCTCAACAGGGAAAGGGGGCAAAGGATCTTCGGGAGGAAAAGGGAGAAGATCTGAAAAGGCCTTAGGGGGAAAAGGGGGAAAGGAGCTCAACAGGGAAAGGTGGGAGAAGATCCTAGGGAGGAAAAGGGAGAAGATCTCGGGGGGAAAGGGGGAAAGGATCTCAACCAAGGGAAAAGATCTTGGGGAGGACAAGGGAGAAGATCTCAGGGGGGGAAAGGCCTTAGGGGGGAAAGGGGGGAAAGGATCTCAACAGGGAAAGGGGGCAAAGGATCTTAGGGAGGAAAAGGGAGAAGATCTTGGGGGGGAAAACGCCTTAGGGGGGAAAGGGCGGGAAAGGATCTCAACAAGGAAAGGGGGGAAAAGATCTTAGGAAGGAAAAGGGGGAAGATCGCGGGGGGAAAAAAGGCCTTAGGGGGGAAAGGAGGGAAAGGATCTCAACAGGGAGAGGGGGGAAAACATCGTAGGGAGGAAAAGGGAAAAACTCAAAGGGACAAAGGGCCTTAGGGGGGAAAGGGGGAATGGATCTCAACAGGAAAAAAAGGCAAAAGATCTTAGGGAGGAAAAGGGAGAAGATCTCAGGGGGGGAAAGGCCTTAGGGGGGAAAGGGGGGAAAGGATCTCAGCAGGGAAAGGGGGGGGGAAAGATCTTAGGGAGGAAAGGGAGAAGATCTGGGGACAAAGGCCTTAGAGGGGAAAGGGGAGAAATGATCTCAACAGGGAAAGGGGTGGAAAAGATCTTAGGGAGGAAAGGGAGAAGATCTGGGGGAAAAAAGGCCAACAGGGAAAGGGGGGAAAGATCTAAGGAAGGAAAAGGGAGAAGCTCTCAGGGAAAGGCCTGAGGGGGGAAAGGGTGGGAAGGATCTCAACAGGGAAAGGGGGGAAACAATCTTAGGAAGGAAGAGGGAGAAGATCTGGAAAGGCCTTAAAGGGAAGAAGGGAAAGGATCTCAACGGGGAAAGGAGGCAAAGGATCTTATGGAGGAATATGGAGAAGATCTCAGCGGGGGGAAAGGCCGTAGGGGGGAAAGGGGGGAAAGGATCTCAACAGGGAAAGGGGGGGAAAGATCTCAGGGAGGAAAGGAAAAAGATCCCAGGGAGGAAAAGGCCGTAGGGGGGAAAGTGGGGGAAAGGGAGGAAAAGGGAGAAGATCTCAGGGGGGAAAAGGCCTTAGGGGGGAAAGGGGGGAAAGGATCTCAACAGGGAGAGGGGGGAAAACATCTTAGGGAGGAAAAGGGAAAAAATCAGAGGGAGAAAAGGCCTTAGGGCGGAAAGGGGGAATGGATCTCAACAAAGAAAGGGGGGCAAAAATCTCAGAGGGGAAGGGGGCAAGGGGACAATTCCAAGGGGGCAAGGGGACAATTCCAAAGGGCCGCAAATAAGAAAGCAGGCCTGTAATGTCGGCGGCCTGAGCCAAAGGCGTTAAACTATATGTATATATAATCACAAAAAGATGTATATACTGGCAACAAGCTTAGATTTGTGATATATGAGCATCCATACCTCCAAAATTCATACCTGCACATACCCTTGCACATGCGAAGCAGCTGGACGCCGTTAACAGCAAGGGTTTCATGGCTATGGACAACTGACGCCCGATTGAGGTCCCAAGCAGAGACGCGCAGTCGTTGGAGTTTGGCATGTTCACGAGACATTTAAGCTGCAAATGTCATCATTCCAAAACCAGAAATAAGATGTGGATCCCAAGTAAAACTCAAGTGACGCGAAGTGAGCTCATTCTCCCAAGTGAGGTCACCATATCTGCAGATTTGAGCTCAGCTCTCCTTTGATGCCGACATGTCAACTGAGGCCTGGTGCTTCCGTCTAACTTCCACTCACGAACCATATACTTCCTGCTTTCTTTGTCGCCCTTCCTCATGCCAAAAGCAACAAGTGGACTAGCTTGGTTCCTCACACCGAAAGCAACACCATGTGAATTGCTAAATAGTTAATATAGTTGGGTTGGCTCATGCGTGTAACTCGAAACCAACAAAGAAAGGTAGAACTCATTGGACGGACCCATCGCACAACTGGCTGTGTCCCCTAAAGAAGACCTCTGTCGGTTTCGGAGTGAAAGGCAAGCCAGCAGCAACCGGGGTTCCCTGTATTTCTCCTCTGGGTTAGTTTAAGTGGATTGATCAAAAGGTCCGTGATACATGGGGTGACCACTAAAACAACCGCCAAAAAAGATATGACTGTTCCCAAAGGAAACAAGTTACTCATGGTCATTTGGGGCCGAACGCAATATTGATCAACCCCCATAGGAAACCCTGAAGGTCGGCCGAAAGCCTGCAACCTGTCAATTGTGGTTGGCACAGGGGGCATACCTTGATCTGTTCCCATAGGGTTTTGAAGGGCTTGAAGAGCATCATCCAAGGCAACTCACTATAAATCCGCAAAGGAAACCTACGTAACCGTTCTGCAAGGCTCTGTTGATAAGAAACCCTGAGAACTCCAACACATGGTCCTTGGCTGCGCAAACAAAAAACACACCCTCAAGTGTTTATAAGGACGCAGGGTTCAGATCCAAGCGCTGCACACCAACAGCTAAGGAGCAAGGGGGGTGGGGGGGGGGAACTCTGAGAGACCAAGGTGGGTCGTTTTTCCCGGTGAGGTTAGTCTCTCGCCTGAGTTGGTGCGGCAAGACCGCCAGCCGACATCCGGAATGTCCAGCCACCAAGGGAGCCTCGTGCGCCTCCGGATTCATCTGATCCGATGCGTCGCAAAAGACGAGCTTAATTTGGAGCCCGTGGTGTCCCATGAAACCAACCTGAAAAGGACACCCCCCAGAAGAAACACGGGCCCACCTGGTTGGCGGAAAGAGGCCTTTCGGGAAAGTGCTGTTGAGAAGTTCTTCTTTCGATCCACAGCTTGTTGCATCTGCCGAGTGGGCGTTTCCCAGCACCAGACGCAAGGCATCATGGCTGGGCTGGGGCGTGGACCATAAGCATGGTCTACCAAAGGCCGTGTGCTAGTAGAGGGAGACAATTCGATGGAAACCAAGGGGTAGGCATGTCTGGAACAGGGTTACTTGTATGTCCGTCTAAAGCTCGCCCAACCAAACGGAAACTCAGTCAATAGCTTTCTCCGGTAAATTTGCTGAGTCTCCAATATTTGGCGGTCCTTTTGTCAAACAGATCCGCCAACCATACGGCCTTCCCCTCCTGGAAGCTGAGAAGAGGGTTTCGGAAGACCGTCCTATCCCTTTGGAGATGTTCATCTTAAAGAATCCTTTGGCGAAATCAAGGGCACCAAAAGGAAGTCCGCTATTCTGGAGCAAAACAAAAAGCACCCACAGGTTGAGAAACAGTCGTTGGTTGAATTTCTTCGTGTACACTTCCTGCTGTTGGGGCCCAAACGTCCTGTGAACATGGTCATGGCTTCTACAAGGTTAACCCCCTAGTGAAGGGTTATTGATGCCAAGCTTAAGGTTTTTGAGGCAAACCAAAAGAAAACCAACCGTTTCCGTCGGGGACAGACCTACCGCCATGGGCTTTGGGCGTTGACCGAACCTCAGCTCCCAGATGGGGTTCTCAAAAGAAAGAGATCCCACCATGCTTGGTGTTCCTCGCTTTTTTTTACACCAGCCACAAGGCGTGTCTGTTTTGAGACAGCCTCAAATGGGGGTGTGTCAAAATAAGGGGGATCCCCGAAACATGGTGGTTGTTCTATTGGTTTCCGTTTAAATCCATCACAAAAAGGGGTACCCTTCGCCTCAAAAAGACAGCCCATGTTTTGAGACCCATAAGGGTGTCTGTTTTGGAGGTACCCCTTCTTCGCTGGTTTCAAAGGGAAACCAAACGGAACAACCGTTGCCATGTGTTTTGGGTCCAAATCCTAAAAAAAGAAACCACACCCATATTAGGCTGTGTCAAAATAGGGATTCGGAACCCCCAGAATGGTTGTCCTTGGGCTTCTCTAACTTTCCACCCCTTGGTATGCTAGCCAAAAACTTGTTGTTTTGCAGTTTGTTTTGCAGCCCACTGCTGAAAATGAACAGACACAATCAACCAACACAGAGTAGAAACATGCCAACAACCGTGAAGCTATCCCACCTGATAAGATTAGACATCGAGACATGAGTCTTGCCAGCTAAATGAGTCTTGAGCCCAGCGTGCAGATTGTTGTTGAGATGTCTCTGATGAGATGAGACATCTTATCAGACAGAAGATAGACTCACAGATTCATGCATTGGGTGATTGCGTTCATGAATTGGAGATGTAATGTCTCCAAACTGACCCAAGCTTGCAGTGAGCAGAGACATGCTCATCTCCCAAAACAGTGTTCGACAATCTGTGCACAGAAGAGCTCAACTCGAGACATCCAGACCCGTCCCTGATTCGGATAACGTCCACATCCAGACATGTTGGCTATGAGACAAACCCATACTTCACCCCTCTGAGGCCCCCGCAGCTCCGAGCAGCGCCCGGTCCGGGGTTCCTGCCGGTGTGCCGTGGAAGAAAAGCGGACCTCCTAGGTGAACTTGGCGAATTCTAGTGAATGGGGCGCGGACCTTTGGGTGGACATTTGGGGATTCGTGTCCACCAGCCACTTTGAGGTGGTTCTCCATCAAGATTGCCATATGAGATTCCTGGTCAAAGTCTCGAGCTTTTGCTTTGCTTCGGGACATTGGGAGCCAGACAGAGCGCGGGCTCCGCAGGGGTCAAAGGGTTGTGCTTGACCTATGTCTTGTCGTGGACTTGGTCCCCCTGTGCAGGTTGTTGGGTTTGCTGAAAAGGGAAACCAGGAGAATTCCCCCATTTCGGGGTCTCTTTTCCAGACAAACCCACCTGGGATATGAGGCTCGGTCAAAATGTGAGGCAAAGGCTGGCAAATCGCAAGGTTCCTGCCACACAGCCCTCTTAGAAATGCCGGGATGGGTATGTGTGTTCCAACCGCACCTTAGTAGCCCCAAAACGCACCACGCGCAACGTGCGTTCTGGAACGTATGCCAAAACGCGCGTTCTGGAACGTGGCTGTGTGGTCAGCAGGCGCAAGGCCCCAATGCTTTTTGCAGGCTTCGGAAAAAGCATGCAGCCCCATCTTACACTGTGCGGCCGCCAGCCAAGTTTCGAAACGTAGGCGGGTTCACCGCAACTACGTGGTTGGCAGGAAAGGCCCAAATGCTTTTTGCAGGCTCCGGAAAAAGCATGCAGCCCAATCTTACACACACACACACACCCCTGCGCGGGGGCCAGCTAAGTTTCGAAACGTAAGCGGGTTCACCGTAACTACGTGGTCGGCAGACACAAGGCCCGAACGCGTTTGAAACGTAAGCGGGTTCACCGTGACTACGTGGTCAGCAAGCGCAATGACCGAGTGCAGGGTCCGGCTAAGTTTGGAATCGTAAGCGGGTCCGCCGTGACTACGCGGTCAGCAGGCGCAAGGCCCGAGTGCCTTTTTTTGCAGGCTCCGGAAAAAGCATGCAGCCAGACAACATGTTGCAGCCACACCAAAGGACTCGAATGCGTTTTTTCGGGGATGGGAAAAAGCAAGGGCAAGCAAACAACTCGGGGGCCTCTGGGAGACCGCGAAGCATACACATGCGTTTTTCGGGGCTGGGAAAAAGCATTCAAACCAACATTGTGCATCTGGAGAGCCTGAGGGCAGGCAAACAACTCGGGGGCCTCTGGGCGACCGCGAAGCACACACATGCTTTTTTTCGGGGCTGGGAAAAAGCATTCAAACCAACATTGTGCATCTGGAGAGCCTGAGGGCAAGCAAACAACTCGGGGGCCTCTGGGCGACCGCGAAGCATAAAAATGCGTTTTTCGGGGCTGGGGAAAAGCACTCAAACCAACATTGTGCATCTGGAGGGCCTGAGGGCAAGCAAACAACTCGGGGGCCTCTGGGCGACCGCGAAGCACACACATGCTTTTTTTCGGGGCTGGGAAAAAGCATTCAAACCAACATTGTGCATCTGGAGAGCCTGAGGGCAAGCAAACAACTCGGGGGCCTCTGGGCGACCGCGAAGCACAAAAATGCGTTTTTCGGGGCTGGGAAAAAGCACTCAAACCAACATTGTGCATCTGGAGAGCCTGAGGGCAAGCAAACAACTCGGGGGCCTCTGGGCGACCGCGAAGCATACAAATGCGTTTTTCGGGGCTGGGGAAAAGCACTCAAACCAACATTGTGCATCTGGAGAGCCTGACAGCAAGCAAACAACTCGGGGGCCTCTGGGCGACCGCGAAGCATACAACTGCGTTTTTCGGGGCTGGGGAAAAGCACTCAATCCAACATTGTGCATCTGGAGAGCCTGGGGGCAAGCAAACAACTCGGGGGCCTCTACCCGCGAAGCACACACATGCTTTTTTCGGGGCTGGGAAAAAGCATTCAAACCAACATTGTGCATCTGGAGAGCCTGAGGGCAAGCAAACAACTCGGGGGCCTCTGGGCGACCGCGAAGCATAAAAATGCGTTTTTCGGGGCTGGGGAAAAGCACTCAAACCAACATTGTGCATCTGGAGGGCCTGAGGGCAAGCAAACAACTCGGGGGCCTCTGGGCGACCGCGAAGCACACACATGCTTTTTTTCGGGGCTGGGAAAAAGCATTCAAACCAACATTGTGCATCTGGAGAGCCTGAGGGCAAGCAAACAACTCGGGGGCCTCTGGGCGACCACGAAGCATACAAATGCGTTTTTCGGGGCTGGGGAAAAGCACTCAAACCAACATTGTGCACCTGGAGAGCCTGAGGGCAAGCAAACAACTCTCGGGGGTCTCGCGAAGCATACAAATGCGTTTTTCGGGGCTGGGGGAAAGCACTCAAACCAACATTGTGCATCTGGAGAGCCTGAGGGCAAGCAAACAACTCTCGGGGGTCTCGCAAAGCATACAAATGCGTTTTTTCAGGGTGCATCTGGAGAGCCTGAGGGCAAGCAAACAAGTCGGGGTCTCTGGGCGCCGCGAAGCATATTTCGGGGCTGGGGAAAGCCTCAATCCAACATTGTGCATCTGGAGAGCCTGAGGGCAACTCTGGGCGCCGCGAAGCATACAAATGCGTTTTTTCGGGGCTGGGGAAAGCCTCAAACCAACCTTGTGCATCTGGAGAGCCTGAGGGCAACCAAACAACTCGGGGGCCTCTGGGCGACCGCGAAGCATACAGATGCATTTTTCGGGGCTGGGAACAAGCACTCAAACCAACATTGTGCATCTGGAGAGCCTGAGGGCAAGCAAACAACTCGGGGGCCTCGATCTGGGCGATCGCGAAGCATACAAATGCGTTTTTCGGGGCTGGGAAAAAGCACTCAAACCAACATTGTGCATCTGGAGAGCCTGAGGGCAAGCAAACAACTCGGGGGCCTCTGGGCGACCGCGAAGCATACAAATGCGTTTTTCGGGGCTGGGAAAAAGCACTCAAACCAACATTGTGCATCTGGAGAGCCTGAGACGTGAAAGACTGCCGTGTTCCCCTCAAGTTCTCCAGACAGAGGCTTTTGCTGCGGGGCCACAAAAAGGCATCGTGTTCCCCTGTGGAGCTTCTTAGGTTGTCCAGTAGACATTTGCTTTTAATGCAGGGCAAGAAAAGAATCTAAGTCGCCGGACGTGCAAGCGACTGCCCCGTAGAGCTTTTAGGAAGTTGGCCAGTAGGGCCACATATGAGGAGCGGACGAAACCCTTTACTTGGCCTTAGTACTTTTTTTAACGTCATCGTTTTTGGGGGAGACCTCATCGTTTTACAGTGTTTTCGAACTTTGGCAGATCCGGCTCCAAAATCGCAACTTTCTAGCACAAGTCTAGTACGCGAAGTACACTTCCGCAGCTCCAGCTCGAAATTCGCAACTTTGTAGTACAAGTCTAGTACGCGAAGTACACTTCCGCAGCTCCAGCCCGAAAATTGCGAAATACAATTCCGCAGCTCCAGCTCGAAAAGCGAAACTTGGCAGGCAGTACAAGTCTAATACGCGAAGTACACTTCCGCATCTCCAGCTCGAAAATCGCAACTGTGCAGTACAAGTCTAGTACGCGAAGTACACTTCCGCATCTCCAGCTCAAAAATCACAACTTTGTCGTGCAAGTCTAGTACGCGAAGTACACTTCCGCAGCTCCAGCTCGAAAATCGCAACTTCGTAGTACAAGTCTAGTACGCGAAGTACACTTCCGCATCTCCAGCTCGAAAATCGCAACTTTGTAGTACAAGTCTAGTACGCGAAGTACACTTCCGCAGCTCCAGCTCGAAAATCGCAACTTTGTAGTACAAGTCTAGTACGCGAAGTACACTTCCGCAGCTCCAGCTCGAAAATCGCAACTTTGTAGTACAAGTCTAGTACGCGAAGTACACTTCCGCATCTCCAGCTCGAAATCGCAACTTTGTAGTACAAGTCTAGTACGCGAAGTACACTTCCGCATCTCCAGCTCGAAAATCGCAACTTTGTAGTACAAGTCTAGTACGCGAAGTACACTTCCGCAGCTCCAGCTCGAACATCGCAACTTTGTAGTACAAGTCTAGTACGCGAAGTACACTTCCGCATCTCCAGCTCGAAAATCGCAACTTTGTAGTACAAGTCTAGTACGCGAAGTACACTTCCGCATCTCCAGCTCGAAACTCGCAACTTTGTAGCACAAGTCTAGTACGCGAAGTACACTTCCGCATCTCCAGCACGATCATCGCAACTTTGTAGTACAAGTCTAGTACACGAAGTACACTTCCGCACTTCCGCAGCTCCAGCTCGAAAATCGCAACTTTGTAGTACAAGTCTAGTACGCGAAGTACACTTCCGCATCTCCAGCTCGAAAATCGCAACTTTGTAGTACAAGTCTAGTACGCGAAGTACACTTCCGCATCTCCAGCTCGAAAATCGCAACTTTGTAGTACAAGTCTAGTACGCGAAGTACACTTCCGCAGCTCCAGCTCGAAAATCGCAACTTTGTAGTACAAGTCTAGTACGCGAAGTACACTTCCGCATCTCCAGCTCGAAATTCGCAACTTTGTAGTACAAGTCTAGTACGCGAAGTACACTTCCGCATCTTCAGATCGAAAATCGTAACTTTGTAGTACAAGTCTAGTACGCGAAGTACACTTCCGCATCTTCAGCTCGAAAATCGCAACTTTGTAATACAAGTCTAGTACGCGAAGTACACTTCCGCATCTCCAGCTCGATCATCGCAACTTTGTAGTACAAGTCTAGTACACGAAGTACACTTCCGCATCTTCAGCTCGAAAATCGTAACTTTGTAGTACAAGTCTAGTACGCGAAGTACACTTCCGCAGCTCCAGCTCGAAAATCGCAACTTTGTAGTACAAGTCTAGTACGCGAAGTACACTTCCGCAGCTCCAGCTCGCGAAAGTACAAGTCTACGCGAAGTACACTTCCGCATCTCGCAGCTCCGCATCTCCAGCTCGCTCGCAACTTTGTAGTACAAGTCTAGTACGAAGTACACTTCCGAAGCTCGAAAATCGCAACTTTGTAGTACAAGTCTAGTACGGAAGTACACTTCCGCAGCTCGAAAATCGCAACTTTGTAGTACAAGTCTAGTACGCGAAGTACACTTCCGCATCTCCAGCTCGAAAATCGCAACTTTGTAGTACAAGTCTAGTACGCGAAGTACACTTCCGCAGCTCCAGCTCGAAAATCGCAACTTTGTATACAAGTCTAGTACGCGAAGTACACTTCCGCAGCTCCAGCTCGAAATCGCAACTTTGTAGTACAAGTCTAGTACGCGAAGTACACTTCCGCATCTCCAGCTCGAAAATCGCAACTTTGTAGTACAAGTCTAGTACGCGAAGTACACTTCCGCAGCTCCAGCTCGAAAATCGCAACTTTGTAGTACAAGTCTAGTACGCGAAGTACACTTCCGCAGCTCCAGCTCGAAAATCGCAACTTTGTAGTACAAGTCTAGTACGCGAAGTACACTTCCGCATCTCCAGCTCGAAAATCGCAACTTTGTAGTACAAGTCTAGTACGCGAAGTACACTTCCGCATCTCCAGCTCGAAAATCGCAACTTTGTAGTACAAGTCTAGTACGCGAAGTACACTTCCGCAGCTCCAGCTCGAAAGTCGCAACTTTGCAGTACAAGTCTAGTACGCGAAGAACACTTCCGCAGCTCCAGCTCGAAAATCGCAACTTTGTAGTACAAGTCTAGTAAGCGAAGTACACTTCCGCATCTCCAGCTCGAAAATCGCAACTTTGTAGTACAAGTCTAGTACGCGAAGTACACTTCCGCAGCTCCAGCTCGAAAATCGCAACTTTGTAGTACAAGTCTAGTACGCGAAGTACACTTCCGCAGCTCCAGCTCGAAAATCGCAGCTTTGTAGTACAAGCCTAGGCTGTACGCGAAGTACACTTCCGCATCTCCAGCTCGAAAATCGCAACTTCTCAGTACAAGTGTCGTATTTACAGAGCCGTGTGTTCGTTAAGGGTCATCGTTTTTGGGGGAGACCTCATCGTTTTCCATGGTTTTGGGATGTGTTACTCAAAAGCGTGCCCCGTCTTGATAAAGTGGTCTACGCGTGTTTTGTCCGTGGCTCATATGTTTTTATTCCAGGGTAAAAAAAGCATCTAAGTCGCCCGGCAATCGCCAGACTGCCGTATTCCCCAAAACGTGCAAAACGGGAGCTCTGAAACGCGCGTTTTGGCAACGCGCGTTGCCAACGTCAAAACGTACGGTGTGAGGTCACTAAGAACCGCACCAACCGCACAACTGCAAAACTGCTAGTAAAATCCCAAATGATGCACGTTCCGCTTGCCTCACTTGGAGTCCCAAATGCACCTGTACTGTGTTCGAATTGTTTCTTATTCACCTCCTCTCCGGAACTTTGGGACACTGTGTCTGCGTGGTGCAAGGCGCTGAAGATTTGGAATGGGTTTGTGTGGCACTGCAAAACCACCATTCAGGCATGATCATAGAAGCAACGTGCTTGTAACTGTTCATCACCTTATATTATGTTTGGTGTGTTGTCTTCGGAGTGTTTTCGAAGGGTACCTCTTCGGGGTGGTTTTACCGGAACCTTTCCTGGGAACCCCCCGACCACCCCAATTTCGGGAAACCAACTTCGGGAACCCCCTAAACAACTTCGGGAGCCCCTTCAAAAAATCGGGAACCTCCCAATTTCAACCCCCCGTATAATTTCGGGTACCCCCTAAACAACTTCGGAAGCCCTGTGAACAACATCGGAACCTCCCTTTCAACCCCCTTATCAATTTGGGGCAGCTTTTTATTTTGGTGCGTACCCCCTGATTTTGGTGCGGCCTCATTGGGACGTCCCCCGACTTTTTCCCCGGGCCAGCGCCTGACCGCGCGGCCGGCGGCAGCTCCGCGTGGCCGGGGCGCAGCACCCGCAGGGCGGGGCGTTGGCCCAACTGACGCGAAAGACGCGAAAGCGGCTCCGCGCCGGGCGGCTTTACGGCGGGGGGGGGGAAGGGACGTGTGCCCATGGTGGTTTGGGGATCTTCCCGTGTTCCCATGGTGTTTTGGGTATAGTATCTTCCAGGGCAAGCGTGTTTTTGGTTGAAGCAGACCCAGGGGTGAAATTGAGGGGTGGACCCTTTGGTGGACAGAGTTCGGTGGGGATAAACAAGTCCAAGCACTTTTGAGGTGGTTGCCTACTTAACTTTAAAATGGGTATGGGTATATGTGCCTGTGTGTTTTGCCTGGGAAAACCCACGGCAGACCGCTGGGCAGACCGCTGGCTTGGGCTTTTCTTCATGAAAACTCATGGCCACAAAGGAACGGGTCCTCCAAAACTCGCAGCTGTCCTGTTGGCTACCCTTTCGCAACCCAACGGGGCCAATCAATATTGACACCCCGGCTTGAACAGAGGGGACCCGCTGAAAAGATGAACCCGTTGTTTTTTTCGTGACCCAACATGATTCAGCATGCAGCCCAGATTCCATTCTGTATAGTCACCAATGGAACCACCCGAAAAACCCGAGAGGAGCATGCTGAAGGGTTACTTGAAATCTGCTGGGCCTTCGGAATCTATAGGATTGGAGCTACGGCGCCCGGCAAGAAACGAGCCAACGCATCCCCCCCCAAAAAAAACGGGAAAAAAATCATCCGAACTCGAAAAACGCATCTGCTACCCCGCCCCAAATTGGGCTCCCGCTCGCTGACATCAGAACTTCGCGCCTGCACCGTGCCGTCCAAAACCACAAAGAGCCCAATGGAGGCCGGGATCCTCGCACCTGCGCCAAGTTGGTTCAAGCGTGACACGCTTGCAACCCCATGTGGCTTTGGGCTCCATTTTGAGAAACATGAAATGTTTGGTTTCCACTTGGTTTCCATGGCGTCCTCTTAGTTTTTTTGCCTTGATATACTAACCAACAAGGGGTCCATCTTGAGAAATCCCCAGAGTGATTCTCAAATCTTCCTGGGCAACCAGCCTCAGTTGTATACCACACACTTCGTTGACTTTTGCGAAACAGCCGGGTGCTTCATACCTAAGCCACCTCAAGATGTTTCAAGACCACACCATTTCAATGGCCGAGAAGGCCACTGGGATATTTGATCATGACAAAAAGGACTAGGCACGCGGGTCTTTTGAGGGACAGCTATAGGAATTCCCGAGGAATTTGCAAGAGATGGCTCAGTTCGGAGCCATTCCCTCTTGCCATCCCCTCCAAATAGCCGCTTGGCTTAGGGTGTATTTGCAAAAGCCGGATTTTCCATGATACATCCCCATGTCATACCCTCACAGAAGTGTACATTTGGAGTAGGGGACCCACCATTTTGAATCCAAACTTGCCGTTCGGGAATGAAGAGGGGGCGTGGGAATGAACCTACGGATCCCTTAGAGGAAACCAGAGATGGTTCCCGGGCCCTCCCAAGTGCACCATAGACGATTTTTGACCACGCTGTTCAGATGGGTTCCTCTCAAAAAAGAGACCCCCTCCATTTGGAGCAAATCTCAACCTAAATGACTTTCAGAAATCGGACCCTCCCCCCCCAAAAAAAAAGACAAGAAAAAACAAACTCCTGTGGGTTTCCCGCATATAACAAGGCCACCCACCCCGGCAAAGAAAAGTCCTGGGCTTACCACGCCATGGGCCTTGCGGCTCGCTTCGGCGCGCGTCGCGGCTCGCATCGGATCGCGGCGCTTCGGCGCCTGGCAGGTACTCGCAGAGCTCCAGGGACTTGGAGATCTCCGGCACCAGCTCCGAGCCAGCCTGCGGCTGCGCGGCTGACCGCCGCGCAAGGGTTTGGACAAGGAAAAACGAGCCCAAGACCTCGAAGCGAGCTGGAGACCACAAAAAAAACACACGCTTTTAGTTGGGACATGAATAAAAAACAACAAACAAAAACAACTGGTGACCAATGAAACTGATAGAAACCCCCAAAGCGGCCAAATTCAAAAGGTGAGTTCAGTCTGGCGAGGGATGCGTCCTTTTGCGGCTTCGATTGGGAATCTCCGCGGACTTGGGAATGGAAAGAGGACTGAACGGAAGTTACCAGGGATGGTTCACTTCCGACTTTTCCATTCCATCGGACCCTTCGGGCCGAAGCCCTGTAGGCGCAGTGTTTTTTTTGGGGAGCCGTTCCTTTGGGGTGTCCAACTGGTCACAGAACACACTGGCGGTCTTTTTTGGGGTAGTCTAATCTTGGAGGGGCAAGCCTTGCCCCTCCAAAAAAACAAGGCCCTAAAAAAACAGGCACAGCTGGGTGTCTAGGTTTTTGGAAGGCCCCGCCCTGGTTCGGCAAGCAGAGGGAACCCCACAGTTTTTCCGGCAAACTGAGGTCGCTGCAAGCGCTGGCGAGGCCAGCAAGCTCGACCTCGATCAGGATTCTTTTCAGCATATGGAGTGTGTGACTTTTGGAGGGTACCCTCCGAATTCTCCACAAACAAACCTCCCGGAAGACGATTTTGCCACGAGATTCTGCTGGTAAGTTCCAGGTTCGTGGGAGGATCGCAGGGCACATGGCCACCGCGACTTGTGCCTGGCTAAGGGGAGTTGGGGTCGACACATTTCGAGTCCATCCCAAATGGGGCGCTGTCCGTATCAAACCTTGGCCAAACGGATCCCACCCCCTGCCAAAAGTGATCACTTTTCGCTGGTTGAAAGGGAAAATGGTGGAAAGCCGCAAAAGAAGGAGTTGAAGCGCAAGCTAAGTCTGGCAATGACAAAAAAAAAAAAAAACGCCGCCATTCGGAGCAACAGCCATGATCTCCCGCCTATGGTTTTAGCTCTGGTTCTGTTCGGATCTCTGAGCCGCCGGCATCAAACGCCCTTGTTGGAGTTTGATGGCCGCTTCGTTCTTGCCCACCAGCTGCCGCAGCTTCCGCGCCTGACATCTTTGCTCCACTTGCAGGATGCTATATCACATAATCATTTGGTGCTCTGCGGGCGCATCAGGAACGAGCTTGCTTCAGTTGGTTGAAATGTGCTCCTTATGAAGTAATACATGGACATAGAACAGCATGACAGGTTGTGACAATGCAGGAGCTTGGGGGACCCCCCCTTACTCCTTCCAGATGTCAACCCTGGAAAGACATTTCATGTTCAATGGGCATTCGGGTCCCCAAGGTAATGTCATAGAACCACTCCGGCGCAGCGATGCAATCACTTCCAGTCGCGAATTGAAGTGGGACAGCTTCACAGGCAATCTGAAGCTACCCGGTTACCCAAAGAATCCTAGGTAACTAAAGCTCAAGTCTTCATGTCACCTGCAAGACATGGGGCTGTGTCAACAAAAAGGACCTTGGCTTCATGCTGGTCCACCTTCAAGCGGGAGTTCTTAACTTTGACAACCGCTCAAAAACCATTGTTAACCAAGCCCGGCTTGCACATGAGGCACTTGCTCTGCCTCGACGTGTCCTTTTGGACATATGAATATAGACGTACAAATGCAGACGTATAAAAGTACATCACGATATGGCAATGGTACATGATTAGAACCAAACTGAATGGAACCCTTGCACGTCCAACCAGATCTCTTTGGACGCCAATATGGCAAATCAGTGCCAGGAAGGCATTCACGATCACGAGCTCGCAGCGCTGCACCACTCGAACGCTCACCTCCGAGCGTTAAAAAAACAAACATCAGGAGGCAAAGCCGTATGAAGGTGTGTCTTAAAATAGGAGAAACCCCAAACATGCTGGCTTTCCCTAAGCCCTGCAAAACCATCCAAGAAGGGACACTCACAAAAAGACAAACCCAGATGTACCATGGTCCAAGCACGGCACCGTATTGAGGGGTCCTGAGTCACATGCATGGGGGGGGGATGACAAAGAGATTGTTGGCCGACCCTCAGGTGCTGTCAATTTCGGGACACACATATGGAATGTGGCAGAAGTAGAAGCCCCTGAGAAACATCTGGTCGTCAAACTATCCTCAGGGCGGCAGGGTTGTCGATTTCTGGTTTCAGCACGCAGACATGTGTGCCAAGGCTTATTGCTTGTTTTCCCTCACAAACATGAACCGTTAATAAGTTGTTCGAGTGTAATGATAATCAGGTGCCTGTACCCAATGTCGTCATTCCCTTTGAAATCTAGATGACGGTGAACGCTGAGAGTTGCTCATATATCTTGTTTGCTCTATTCTGAGCGCTACCCTGTTTTGCCAGAAATCCTCCCTATGTTTCCCCTTTCGGTGGTTTTCAACTTCAGCTTTTTAGACCGATTTTAAGTGAGTTTCCCCTTTGTGGGGTGATGCAGAGGGGACATGTACGGAACCCGCAACTTTTTCGCGAATCCCTCACGGTCACCTTCAGAGGTCCAGCAATTTCCCCAAGATCAGCGTACTCCGGGGAGTGGACCGATGAAGTGTCACCATACAGCAGCGCCCGCTGACCTCACACAAGTGGATCGAGTTCTGCAACTCCCCGCTGATGAACCCTCAAACTACCAACAGAAAAACACGTGGGACATTGCCCATGCTTTGCGACATGTCATCTTGGCTGGTTTGAGGGCTTGGAGGATAGGTCCGGAGACCGTTGCAAACGCCCACGTTTCCGAAACCCAAAAGGTCCGCCGACCTTCTCCGAGCCGAAGGGTCGGTCCGCACTTTGCATCGCGCCAATGGGTAAGGCTGGTTTGATCTGTTTGACTCAATGCAACAAGATCCTTGGAACATTTTGACTCAGTGCAACCAGATCTCTGGAAAATTTTGGCTCAATGCAACCAGATCCTTGGAACATTTTGACTCAATGCAACAAGATCTCTGGAAAATGTTGGCTCAATGCAACCAGATCCTATCTCTGGAACATTTTGACTCAATTCAACAAGATCCTTGGAAAATGTTGACTCAATTCAACAAGATCTCTGGAAAATTTTGACTCAATTCAACAAGATCCTTGGAAAATGTTGACTCAATTCAACAAGATCTCTGGAAAATTTTGACTCGATGCAACAAGATCCTTGGAAAATGGGAACTAGAAAGGACACCGGTTGATTCATTTGGCTTCCGAAGCGGCTTTGGGGCGAGTCAATCGGGTCCATCAAAGTGGCTTCCTCAAAGTAAGCTTCTGAATTGCGGTTTAAGGGGAAACCACTGCGACCTAAAAGTGTTTGCTCTTCAACATGTTTTTCCAGGCAACCAAACACCTCAAGTTAGGATACAACCCGGGTAACTTTTGGTTGTGTCTCAAAATAGGGCAACCCTCAAAATGGGTCTTTCCCCTTTCTAATCCCCCTCATTAAACTGTAAGCCAATGCCAAACCGGGTCCATGTTTTGGTTGACCGCTTTATGAGAAACTGATCCGTCTGGGTTTCTTTTTCGCCATCCGCCAGCCAGGCGCCGGGCCAATGCAGTCCCCGACCCTCGCGAGCTCCTGCGGACATGGGACGGACGAAACCTCCTTTGGTGGTTGAATCTGGAGGGGGTGATGTTCATCTTCCTCTCTTTTTTTTGGGGGGACGGGGGGGGGGGGGATGGATCTCTTCTTCTTTGTTTATTGTTTATTTTTTTGTTGGGGGGTGGTGATGTTCATTTCTTTGTATTTTTTTTTTTGGGGGGGGGGATGGTGATTCATCTCCTTCAAGTCTTCTTTTGGGGGGATGGTGATTCATCTCCTTCAAGTCTTCTTTTGGGGGGATGGTGATTCATCTCCTTCAAGTCTTCTTTTGGGGGGATGGTGATTCATCTCCTTCAAGTCTTCTTTTGGGGGGATGGTGATTCATCTCCTTCAAGTCTTCTTTTGGGGGGATGGTGATTCATCTCCTTCAAGTCTTCTTTGGGGGGATGGTGATTCATCTCCTTCAAGTCTTCTTTTGGGGGGATGGTGATTCATCTCCTTCAAGTCTTCTTTTGGGGGGATGGTGATTCATCTCCTTCAAGTCTTCTTTTGGGGATGGTGATTCATTCAAGTCTTCTTTTGGGGGGATGGTGATTCATCTCCTTCAAGTCTTCTTTTGGGGGGATGGTGATTCATCTCCTTCAAGTCTTCTTTTGGGGGGATGGTGATTCATCTCCTTCAAGTCTTCTTTTGGGGGGATGGTGATTCATCTCCTTCAAGTCTTCTTTTGGGGGGATGGTGATTCATCTCCTTCAAGTCTTCTTTTGGGGGGATGGTGATTCATCTCCTTCAAGTCTTCTTTTGGGGGGATGGTGATTCATCTCCTTCAAGTCTTTTTGGGGGGATGGTGATTCATCTCCTTCAAGTCTTCTTTTGGGGGGATGGTGATTCATCTCCTTCAAGTCTTCTTTTGGGGGGATGGTGATTCATCTCCTTCAAGTCTTCTTTTGGGGGGATGGTGATTCATCTCCTTCAAGTCTTCTTTTGGGGGGATGGTGATTCATCTCCTTCAAGTCTTCTTTTGGGGGGATGGTGATTCATCTCCTTCAAGTCTTCTTTTGGGGGGATGGTGATTCATCTCCTTCAAGTCTTCTTTTGGGGGGATGGTGATTCATCTCCTTCAAGTCTTCTTTTGGGGGGATGGTGATTCATCTCCTTCAAGTCTTCTTTTGGGGGGATGGTGATTCATCTCCTTCAAGTCTTCTTTTGGGGGGATGGTGATTCATCTCCTTCAAGTCTTCTTTTGGGGGGATGGTGATTCATCTCCTTCAAGTCTTCTTTTGGGGGGATGGTGATTCATCTCCTTCAAGTCTTCTTTTGGGGGGATGGTGATTCATCTCCTTCAAGTCTTCTTTTGGGGGGATGGTGATTCATCTCCTTCAAGTCTTCTTTTGGGGGGATGGTGATTCATCTCCTTCAAGTCTTCTCTTGGGGGGATGGTGATTCATCTCCTTCAAGTCTTCTTTTGGGGGGATGGTGATTCATGTCTCTTGCTTTAATGGGTGGGATGGGCGATATAATTAAAATACCCTTGCGGTTTCCCTTTAAAAACCATCCAAAGAAGGGGTCCCTGACTCTGACACAGACCCAGTTCTCAGAAGCAAGAGGTCGAGTCACACAAAGGGTGGTCCCTATGTTGAGACACGCCCATTGCCACATGTCCATAAACTGGCCAAGCGTTGGCCCAACCTCAGCTGGTGCCCTGATTGGAGGTGGCCTGATAATTAAAGCTATGCACAAAGTGGCTATGAACAAAGTAAAACAAAACAAAATTGTGGTCCGAATAGCACCTTTTAATACTGGTTGAATCCAGGCGGTAGTCCATCAAGTAAGAGTGTCTAACTTTAGCACTCTCAATGTAATCTTGACATATCTTAAGTTTGCTGGACGCGACACATCATGAGTCCCATAGGCCTCAAGCGTGGCCTCACTTTGCCTTGTGTGGACTTCAACAATCCGCTCCGGGGGCCTTTGCCGGGATGGCATGGGCCCCACAAATCGGAGGAAGCAGCTTGAGACCCTCACTGCAAAGTTCAGTGTGACCTAGATGCGCCGGGTGAGTGGTTTCCCTTTCCCTTTAGAACCAATGGGTGTTCCCTAAAGGAGGGAAAACCCCTTTGTTTAGGGGGTGGACAACCCCTTTTTTAAGGGGGGGTCTACCGGTACCATGAGTGCTCTCCAACAACGCCCCTTCGAGACACCCAGACCAGCAGGCAGCCCAAGTTTCCTGCGGGTTTCGGGTCGCTCTCATCCATGTTCCATCAAAAATAATTACCTTCCAAACCTGGGGGGGAGGGGTGGTGGCCCCCAATTTTCCCTCTTCGACACCCCGAATTTCTCGAATTTCTCCATGTCGGATCCATTGAACCAGGACCATTTCCCGTTTCAGAAACCACCCCTGAATTTCTCCATCTCGGACCCCTCCGCCCCCCCCGCTTCGACCCCTCTTCGACGTTCACAAACCTTCCGAGCGAGCGACGAGCCGCGTCCTCCTCGCCGAAGTACTGCACCTCCAGGCGCCCGCTCTTCACCAGGAAGCCGTGGTTCAGCTCGGAACTCCCTGCGCCGCCCGCCGGCGCCTCCCCCACCTCGAAGGTCTTCACCACCGACCTCGAAGCCGGCGAAGCGAAGCGGTGGGGTGGGTGGGTCCTCCAGGTTTGAGAGGGTAGAAGTTGGTACCAACTTTTTTCGGCTGTGTCTATTTTATTCTCTAGTCTATCTTAAAATACAGATTTAGTAATAAGTTGGTATATACGGTTTTTTCTTTTCAGGACGTCGATTTTTAGGAGGGGAACCCACAACCCCAAAAAAGTCACGGCAAAAGGGCACGCCGTAGGTGGACCTAGGTGGGGTGGTGGCGGAAAAAATCGGAAGGCCCTGATCCACTGGAAACATCGACCGAAGGCGACGTGGGTGGGGTGGTGGCCAAAATAAGAAAAGCGGAACTAGACCCTGATCAACTGGAAAGGAAATCACCGAAAAACAGGTTGCAAAGGGGCGGAACAAGAATTGGGACCCTGGATTGTTCAGCCAACTGTGACAAGGGTGATTTGGTTGGACAAAAGCAGCAACCTGGCCATCTCGGCGGATGAGGGTGGAATCCACTGGGATGATGAAGCTTGACATTATGTGCTTTCAGGGAACCAAACTCAGGAGTTTTGGAGCAGAGAAAACTCATTCCAAGAGAGCCTTTATGTGGAACTACAAAAGCAGGGACCCAACATCCCAAGTGGAAGTCTGTGATTTGGAGAGAGAATTCGCTGAAAAGCATTGAGAACTCGCCCCGAAAAGTGTAGGGCTATGCAAAATTCGGTGCTTGGTCATTTCATCCTGCATCTTTGTTCTGCTGATTTCGGGCAGGGGAGCGGGGAATGAACGAGCAAACAGAACCATCGCAAGGGGCATCCAAAGGTTCGGGGGTGAGGCTCCGGCATATCCGCCACGCAATCAAGCTCGCGCGCGGACAGGCCTTGCAGGATGGGTACCTGGCAGATTTTGTGCAAGGGCCTCTCAAATCTACGTTTGGGGGGAAATCCCTTGAAGCATTCACGGGGTCAACTCGAGGATGTCACTCTAAGCTTCAACTGGCCCCCCCAAAAAAAAGGACGGAAACCACGGACTGGCGCAGGTACATTTAGTTTGAATGACTCTCACCGCGTTGCTGACTGAAATGCCCGCGCCTTGACATCTCCCGCGCTTGTATCTCTTGACTTACCCCTAAAACTCCAAGCACTGGGGAAGTTAATCTTTTACAGACATATAGCCCATGTTACCCAAAAAGTTGAAAAGTTGTGTTTTTAAGACGTAAGTTGATGGTCCTTCAATTTGTCCCAAAGTGGCGAGTTCAGTGGATCGATCCCAGGCGCACGGAGTCCAGGAAAGACCTGACATCTTCCACCTGAGCAATCGAGTGTATCCCGAGACTTCCTGGACTCTCCAATGACCTGATCCAGACCTGAGCAAATTGGATGTCCCGTTTGTGAGCAATGTCCAATTGTTTAGAGCTAAAGTTTTTTAGAGGGGTGCGCTCAAAGGGAAACTGGGGTGTGGACCCTATGGCTATACGGCGATCACATGCCTCCTTTCCCCTGTGGTTCCGAGGCACCAAGAACCGAGGCAGAACCCAGAACTGCATGTGCAAGCCCCTTCCGCTTTGGATAGAACCGGGTGTCTCTTTTTTTGAGGGTCCCATTCTTGGAGAAGTTTTTCCCACGGGAAACCCTAAGGAAACCATTGTTACAGGTTGCCCACTGCGGGCAACCGCAAATCAAGCAGCTCGAGCCAGGTTCCCGATCCGTGTCCTAAACCTGACAGGTCCCTCTAAAAGAACCCGAACCTCACGTTCCATGGAGGGTATATCTCTTTCTGTCCTTCATGGTAAAGACTCGCCTTCGTTTTTCAGGGCTTTTGGTGAATAAATAGTCTCTTCCTCTAGTGTTCCGGAACTCTGCCTGTTGTGTTCCCGGGGTCTTCCAGTAATCTTCCTCTCTTCCTGCAGCCTTCCCGTAGTCTTCCGGTCTCATCCGGAGCTCCACGGAGCCAATATTCACAAAGCCAAACTCTGGTGAACAAGGGCTTTGTTTAGGCTTCTTCTGGCCTTCGTTTGGCGCCCTGCAAAAGCCGCAAAAGCCGCAAAATAATCATCCTTCGTTTTAGAGTTTGTACCGGCCAGGATGCATCCCTTATAGCATTTTTTTTGCGGTAGCTCACAAAGGAACATCTCCAGTGAACATAACATGCTTCGCACATGCTGGGGATTTATATTTTTGTCCACCATGCTTGAGGGGCTTCGCCCATGATGCCCGGTACGCTTCTGGGTGTCAAAAAAAATAGAGGATGTAATCGAGACCCATAGAAATATGATTGATGTTTCAACTTGAGGTTTCCCTTCGACAACGTACAATAAACAGGCCCCTGGTTTGGGTGTGCCATTTTTGATGGTACCCGTTTTGGGGTGTTTTCGAAGGTAACAAAATGGGAACACCGCCAACTTTAAGGGTCCGGGATTTTGGACAGACCCATTTTGTAAACGCCCAAACGAGGTGCGCAAACGCGGGGACAAACCCCGCCTGTCTCGTCACGGCCGACAAGATCGCCTAGTTCGAACGCACGGGAAAGTACTGGACTGTCAAGTGCTCACACTTTGTCTCATAGGCAAACTTGCCAGGGGTGGAATTTTCCTTGGGTTTTTCCTTTATACAACCCCCAAAAAAGGGGTGACATCCCAACATTCGTGCATGGTTCTCTTCAGTGCAGAACAGGTGTCCCCATATTTAGCAATGACCCGTCTGAGTCCCGGCATCTCAAGTTGCACATACGGGGTTCGCGCTAAGGATAGCACAATTGCATGACACCTCTCGAGTCACATTCCGAAAAAAGGAAGCTGTGGACGACTTGCGAAACAACCACCTGCAATTAGTCCCAAAAGTGAGGCGTAATTAATCTGACTCAAACGCGTTAAACTGGAATCCTATAGGGACCCCTGCAAAAACGGGCGTCTTCCTTTTTCGGAGGTTTCCCCCGCCGCTCGGCCGAGTGGGACACACCCAACAGCCGACTCGCCGACTCGCCGACTCGTCGCCTCCCGAACGAGGCGGCTCTCGGCGGCCCAGACGCCGGCGCAGCGGGAGGCCACCACCGAGCAGCTGTGGGGGCACCTCGCAACGCGCCGCGCTGAAGGTCGAAGGGTCGAAGGACGATTGGCCAAAGCGGCTGGAGTTTTGTCGGAGGTCTGAAAGTGTTCCTTGGGCCAACAGTTTGGCCGGAAAGTGTTTGGGCCCTGACAGCTATGGGTGGAAAGCTTGGAATGAGTTTGTCTAGAGGACACTTGCATGTTTGGCGGCCACACCCCTCTCTCGGAAGATGTCGGCCAAGGACGGGGATGGGCGGGGCGGGGATGGGCGGCGTTTGAGACCCGAAAGACAGGGGCAAAGTTTGCCCCCAAGGCCCCAAGCGCCGAAGGCAATGCAACCGGGCCAGGTCCATTTGAAGATGGTCACTCCTTTTTCGGCCCACTTTGGGATCACTCTTGATAACCCTTTCTCTGAGAAGGCTCTTTGCATGTACCCAACCAAATCACAGCAAACAGCAACTCATCTTTAAATTGGAATTCCCAAAGGCAAAGTCCAGTAATGTTGGACCCTCTTTACACCCCCCCCCCGCTCCCCGCTAGGAGTTTAAGACCAATCAGCGGGACCCTCTTTCAGCGAGATCCTGGGGGTCTGGGAGGGACAGTACTTACTTTCGTATTGCCAAGGCTGACCCTCAGATTCCCATAGAATGACCCACCCTCTCAAACTAAAAGGCTGAGGCTTTAGTTTTCAGTTGAAAAGCAACCCCCAAACCCATGTGGACACTAAAGAGGACCACAAAACAGTCAGACTAAAGAGGAGCAGGGCATCTCATGGGCACCCCCTTTGTGTGACTGATTGCCCTCACTTTTTTGTAAAGAAGTTATCTTAATTTTGATGGTTTGGGAACAACTTGCAAAATGAAACTCCTAAATCTCAGGGCTTTAACTTTTGAGCTGGGGAAGCTTAGGGTGAGCCATTCTAACCTTTGAGCTGGGGAGAGTTTAGGAGGAGCCCCCCCCCCAAAAAAAAAAGAAGAAGAGAAAAACAGGCTCTGTTTTTTCTCTCCTGATCTGGCCTCAGCCTTTTAGTTTTAAAGGGGGAATTGCTCAATTGAGGACCCCAAAACAGTCACAAGATCCTGAATGGCGCAAATAATTTGCTACAATAGAGGGGACCATTAATAAAGGAAGTGTAACATTAGTCTTGTCTCGCCAATGCGGGGGACAGTGCACGGTGTCTTTTGCCTTCCCTAACCAAACTTTGAAGGGGAAATGGAGCCGGATGGCTCAGGATTTCTACCACCCGACCACCTCGCTGAAAGGAAGATACCGCTTACAAACCGCCCAGACATGTGATGTTTGCAAAAATTTGCGGTGACGCTTGAGCTTTTCAATGCGGGGAAAGAACTCAGAGCGCCATCCTTCCTTTCTCGGTGTCAGCGCCGATTTGGGTCAAGAATGGTTGGCCTCGGGTCTTTGATTTTTGGCACCCCAAAACTGCGGTTGTGGTTCCTTTCAAACCAACCTAAACTGGGCACCCTGCGTGCCTCATTTCTCAACCCCGTCGACATGGGCGCCCCGGCTTCTGCAGCAGAGCCATCTCTCCAAAGGTCTGCCCTGCAGCCAGGCTGCTGACCTTGAGTTCGATGTCAGGCAACCCAAACCAATGCGGAAACCATGTTAATTCCAAGGGACACCAGGCGAACTCCAACGAAGGGACACCCGGGCCTGATTTACCAAAAATGGAGGGGGGAGGGTTAAAAATAGTTATAAACCCAGCCGATCAAAATCAGGTGTCCGAATTTCCCAGTAGTGGGAAATACCTGGGATCCGACGGACGCGCGAGACGGGCTACATGGGCACCGGACACTCACCCCATGGAGTACCACATCCAGGCCGGGCGTGTGGGCGATGTAGAAGTACCTGGGAACCACGAAAGTTCTCGTCGCCAAATGGGTATGTGTCACAAGAAATGGCTTTCCTTTGGATCTCCCTAAAGACCGAGCTGCTTGAAGGTTACCCTCAAAAATGTTCAAACCACCCTAAGGACCAGGGTTGGTTCTTACAACTTTTGGCAGGTCAAACCACTCGAAACCGCCAGGACCCAAGTCCAAATTAAATGTTTTTTTTGGGGGGGGAGTGGTGTTTTCCCGAAAGCATCGCGAAGGGTTCTTCCGTGCGAAGCCCTTGGACAAGTTACATAGAGCCAAGTTACATAGAGCCAAGTTACATAGAGCCAAGTTACATAGAGCCAAGTTACATAGAGCCAAGTTACATAGAGCCAAGTTACATAGAGCCAAGACCCTCTGCGGAGATTCGCGTGGTCGAGGTTCAAAAACTGGGGACTTTTTACGATTTCTGCTGGCCACGCGCGACCCTCTGCGGATTCGCGTGGTCGAGGTTCAAAAACTCAGGACTTTTTACGATTTCTGCGGTGCGCGCGCGACCCTCTGCGGAGATCGTGTCGAAGCGCTCTCGCTGTGGCGCCGTGCGAATTTGTCTTAGTCTCGGCGAACCCTCTGCGGAGATTGTGCGTGTCGAAGCGCTCTCGCTGTGGCGCCGTGCAATATTCTTGCTCGCGAAACGGCCTTTGGAAGTTGTCTCGTGGTTTGCGCGCCTGCTTTCGCAATCCCGCGGTCGCGGGTTCGATTCCCCCCTGGTCCGCGGCAGCTCCGGCTTGAAAATCGCAGCTTTTAAGTACAAACGTAGTACGCGGAGCGTGCTCCTGCAGCTCCGGCTGGAAAATCGTAACTTTTAAGTACAGACGTAGTGTGCGGAGCGTGCTCCCGCAGCTCAGGCTGGAAAATCGCAACTTTTAAGTACAAACGTAGTACGCGGAGCACACCCCCGCAGCTCCGGCTGGAGAATCGCAACTTTTAAGTACAAACGTAGTACGCGGAGCGTGCTCCTGCAGCTCCGGCTGAAAATCGCAGCTTTTAAGTACAACGTAGTGTGCGGAGCGTGCTCCCGCAGCTCAGGCTGGAAAATCGCAACTTTTAAGTACAAACGTAGTACGCGGAGCACACCCCCGCAGCTCCGGCTTGAAAATCGCAACTTTTAAGTACAAACGTAGTACGCGGAGCGTGCTCCTGCAGCTCCGGGTGGAAAATCGCAATTTTTAAGTACCGACGTAGTATGCGGAGCGTGCTCCCGCAGCTCAGGCTGGAAAATCGCAACTTTTAAGTACAAACGTAGTACGCGGAGCGTGCTCCTGCAGCTCCGGCTGGAAAATCGTAACTTTTAAGTACAGACGTAGTGTGCGGAGCGTGCTCCCGCAGCTCAGGCTGGAAAATCGCAACTTTTAAGTACAAACGTAGTACGCGGAGCACACCCCGCAGCTCCGGCTTGAAAATCGCAACTTTTAAGTACAAACGTAGTACGCGGAGCGTGCTCCTGCAGCTCCGGGAAAATCGCAGTAAGTACAAACGTAGTAAGCGGAGCGTGCTAGCTCCGGCTGGAAAATCGTAACTTTTAAGTAGACGTAGTGTGCGGAGCGTGCCCGCAGCTCAGGCTGGAAAATCGCAACTTTTAAGTACAAACGTAGTACGCGGAGCACACCCCCGCAGCTCCGGCTTGAAATCGCAACTTTTAAGTACAAACGTAGTACGCGGAGCGTGCTCCTGCAGCTCCGGCTGGAAAATCGCAACTTTTAAGTACAGACGTAGTGTGCGGAGCGTGCTCCCGCAGCTCAGGCTGGAAAATCGCAACTTTTAAGTACAAACGTAGTACACGGAGCACACCCCCGCAGCTCCGGCTTGAAAATCGCAACTTTTAAGTACAAACGTAGTACGCGGAGCGTGCTCCTGCAGCTCCGGGTGGAAAATCGCAACTTTTAAGTACAGACGTAGTATGCGGAGCGTGCTCCCGCAGCTCAGGCTGGAAAATCGCAACTTTTAAGTACAAACGTAGTACGCGGAGCGTGCTCCTGCAGCTCCGGCTGGAAAATCGTAACTTTTAAGTACAGACGTAGTGTGCGGAGCGTGCTCCGCAGCTCAGGCTGGAAAATCGCAACTTTTAAGTACAAACGTAGTACGCGGAGCACACCCCGCAGCTCCGGCTTGAAAATCGCAACTTTTAAGTACAAACGTAGTACGCGGAGCGTGCTCCTGCAGCTCCGGGTGGAAAATCGCAATTTTTAAGTACAGACGTAGTATGCGGAGCGTGCTCCCGCAGAACAGGCTGGAAAATCGCAACTTTTAAGTACAAACGTAGTACGCGGAGCACACACCCGCAGCTCCGGCTGGAGAATCGCAACTTCTAAGTACAAACGTAGTACGCGGAGCACACCCCCGCAGCTCCGGCAGCACTTGCGCAGAGCAACTTGCGCAGAGTCACTTGCGCAGAGCAACTTGCGCAGAGCACAATTGCACAAAGCACTTGCGCAGAGCAACTTGCACAGACCAACTTGCACAGAGCACATGCGCAAAGCGCTTGCACGGAGCAACTGGCGCAGAGCCCTTGCGCAGAGCAACTTGCTCAGAGCACTTGCGCAGAGCAACTTGCACAGAGCAGGCGCAGAGCAACTTGCACAAACCAACTTGCGCAGAGCACATGCGCAACGCGCTTGCGCGGAGCAACTGGCGCAGAGCACTTGCGCAGAGCAACTTGCTCAGAGCACTTGCGCAGAGCAACTTGCACAGAGCACTTGCGCGCAGCAGCTTGCAGAGAGCAACTTGCGCGCAGACCACTTTCGTGAGAAATCGCGCGGCGCAGTTCGAGAGGAAAGTAGGATGATGAAATGGAGCTCTCATGTGACCATACACACTGAGCATCGCCGCGCGCAGACACGCTCGCCGCAGCGATGTAAAAAGGTGCCTCCGCGGCTGGATGAGCACCTGTGGAAAAATGCTTTCGGGCCAAGCGTCCTCTAGTTTTTTAGTTTTAAGATAGATCCAAAAGGAATAAACCACTTAGCGATATAGGTGTGCGATTGCTTTCAGGGTCTTGAAAACAAAAACCAAAGGGGGATCAATCCTTTTTAGGGGTAATCTGAAACCAGAACTGCAGTTGCTCATCCCAAGCACCGATGGGAATCTGGAGGCATGGGCTGGAACCACAGCGCCGAGGCAAGTCACAAGAGGAATCGCTCCAGCTATGGTACTTAACATGTCCAAACTTTCTGCTCTAAAGTATGGCATCACTCAACACCCCGAGTCTCACCAGAAATCCCCAGCCTCCAATTTCTAGCGTCCTGATTTCGGGTCGGCCGACCCTCAAAAACAACGATTCAAAGCAAGCACTGTGACCAAAATAGCCCGCAGTTTGCCAACCTGCAGATCTTCCATGGAGCAGCAGTACAAACGATGCGGGCGGTACTCAAGCCAATCCAAACAACCCACAGCATAGCCCTGCAGGTTGGCAGATTGTTCATGGGGCAAGCGGTGCAAATGATGCCGGCAGTGTCAAGCACGCCAAACCGCCCCAACAACCCATATAGCCCTGCAGCTTGGCAATCTTCAGATCAAACGATGCGGACCCGATCCAAACATAGCCCTGCAGGTTGGTAACCTGCAGATTGTTCATGGGGCAAGCGGGCAGCCAAGGACACCAAACCGCCCCAAACAACCCATATGGCCCTGCAGGTTGGCAATCTGCAGATCTTGCATGGGGGGCAGCGGTACAAACGATGCGGGCGATACTCAACCCAATCCAAACATAGCCCTGCAGGTTGGCAACCTGCAGATTGTTCATGGGGCAAGCGGTGCAAATGATGCGGGCCATGCCCAGCATAGCCCTGCAGGTTGGCAACCTGCGGATCTTCCATTGGGTAGCGGTACAAACGATGCCAAGCCAATCCAAACAACCCGCAGCATAGCCCTGCAGGTTGGCAACCTGCAGATTGTTCATGGGGCAAGCGGTGCAATGATGCGGGCAGTGCCAACCGCCCCAAACAACCCATAGCATAGCCCTGCAGTTGGCAACCTGCAGAATGTTTATGGGGGAGCGGTACAAACGATGCGGGCGATACTCAAGCCAATCCAAACAACCCACATCATAGCCCTGCAGGTTGGTAACCTGCAGATTGTTCATGGGGCACCAAACCGCCCCAAACGGTTGGCAACCTGCAGATTCTTCAAGGGGCAAGCGGTGCAAATGATGCGGGCAATGCCCAGCACACCCCAAACCGCCCCAAACAACCCATAGCATAACCCTGCAGGTTGGCAACCTGCATGGGGCAAGCGGTGCAATGATGCGGGCAACCCATAGCACAGCCCTGCAGGTTGGCAACCTGCAGATTGTTCATGGGGGAGCGGTACAAACGATGCGGGCGATACTCAAGCCAATCCAAACAACCCACAGCATAGCCCTGCAGGTTGGTAACCTGCAGATTGTTCATGGGGCAAGCGGGCAGCCAAGGACACCAAACCGCCCCAAACAACCCATATAGCCCTGCAGGTTGGCAATCTGCAGATCTTGCATGGGGGGCAGCGGTACAAACGATGCGGGCGATACTCAACCCAATCCAAACATAGCCCTGCAGGTTGGCAACCTGCAGATTCTTCATGGGGCAGCGGTGCAAATGATGCGGGCAATGCCCAGCACACCCCAAACCGCCCCAAACAACCCACAGCACAGCCCTGCAGGTTGGCAACCTGCAGATTTTTCATGGGCCCTGCAAATGTTTCATGACACAGCGATGCAAATGATGCGGGCAATGCCCAGCACACCCCAGACCTGCAGCTTTTCCCTGCAGCGGCGGGGCAAAGATGTGCATGATGCCCAAGCAATCTGCCCCGCAAGACAGCAGTGCAAATGATGCGGGTTATGCAAGCAAGCCCCAAACAACTCCAAGCAAAGCTTTGCAGATCGCTGATCTGCGATTTTCCATGGAGTAGCGATGCAAAAATGCGGGTTATGCCCATCCCCAAGCAGAGCCCTGCAGGTCGCTGCAGATTTTCCATGGAGCAGCTGCCAGCAATGAGGCAACGGTGCATTTTCAGGTCCTAGGAAAGCAAACTCATGTTGTTCCATTTGTTTGGTGCAGGTGGCGCTGGTTCCATTTGTTTGGTGTTCGTGCAGTTCGAACTTGACAAGGGCCCTCCGAGTGAACCCCCGAAATTGAAAAACCCCCGCGGCACGCTCCGTGAGATCCTTCGCTTTGGATGGTGTCGCCCATCTGGAACTCATAGAACTCAAGACACTCCTGGCGACTTTTTCCGGGTCGGGCGTGCGTGCGATCAGAGGCCTTTGGGTTAGAGAGCTGGTGTCTAGCAAAAACCGGTGGGTTTTTTTTGTTCAGGATTTGACTGGTGTCTAGAGGCGGACTTCAGACAAAAAGCTGCATGCTGCTTGTTCTCTGACTTTTTGTTAGTGGGACAAGCAAGTTTAAAGGACTTAGTCATGGCCGTAGTGAGGCCTTTGGGACACAAAAACAAGGCGAGCGTTTCTGACGGAAGTCATACTCAGCAAGGCGCATTCTTCGAGTGTACGCATCATGCACATCATACTGGATTGCTTCAAAGACTCTGCGGTTGTCAATGTTTGGTATCCCCTTTCTTTTCGGCGGCACCGTCATCCGGCACCTAGCAGTTTTGACAGCAAGAACTCGTAAAGTGTTGAAGTGCTAAAATCCAGAAGGGAATGGCTGGCACGGGTGCTGCTGACAGAGTGTTGGCGGCAATTTGGCAGCCAACCTGCACAGCGTTGAAATCAGGAGGATCTTGCCGGCAATAGATGGCACGAGTGCTGTTGACAGCTTGTGAAGCGTTGAAGCTGAAATTAGGAAAGAGCTCTTTACTTTCAAGCTTCTTTCAAACAAGGGCTCCTTGTGCATTTCGTTGGCTTTCAATAGCTGCTCGTAAAGCGTGCCTTTGAATCACGCTCCAGCAAGTTCCTAATAACAAACTCCTTCAACAGCTCCTTCTACACTTCTCTACGCTGCAAGTACGTTGCCATACTCCTCGCAAAGAGCCTCTTACCAAGCGGCCTTCAACGAATGCTCCTCGTCCTGCCTTTGTTCGGGCGGCCGCTTTTCTGCATTGTTTTACCAGGAATCAAACGGAACCCACCCACCAACCCCCCCCCCCCGGCCCCCCTGCCACCACTTGGGTGCACGAAAGCTCCCTTGAGACTGAGGGCGGCACCACAAGCTGCTCAATCTGGTCATTGCCGAGCTGCTGCAGCAGGCTGCTGCCGCCTGAGAAACGCTAAGCGTTCCCCTTGGTTGCCTTTGGTAGGCAATGACATCCCACTCATCACTGGTTGTGGAAATAACCCTTGTTGTGATACTAAAGTCGTGTAAAGTGTAAAAGGGGGGATGTGATTGGGGGGTTGACATCATACCCTTGGCACAAAGTGGAGTATTTGGAGACGGGGTGGGCCCCTGGAAGATACTCTAACACTGACGGGTTTCTGGGGTTCCATTTGGAGACAAAGGGGGCAACCGACCGTTACGGGGGTTGGGCACTAGTTCCTGTAGAAATTCCTGTGGCTTATTTCCCGGGGAGGGTTTCCCTCAATTTCCACTGAAATGAACAGCCTCACTTGACAGCAAATTTGTCCCGCGAACAGTGGAAAAGGCAAACCATGGTATAAACATGCGTTGTTGCGAAAGTCATGGACCTCATGTATGAAACGGCACATGTAGCCAAGGTCCCGCAACAGGCCAATACCTGTTTTAGACATGCCCTGGCTTGCGAAACCCCCTGAGCAAAAGGTCTATCTGGCTGTGGGTCGGAACCCTCGGAAATGGAACCACAACTAAAACCTGCGGTCCCCTGCTGGTTTAATTTTGACCCATTCCCAACCTTTTGTTGCAATGGAAAGATCAGCTGTCCAAAGGTCGGGGCGATTCGGTCACTTCCGCTTGCCCCTCTTTCCCCTTTGCCTCTTTAGGGCCTCCTTTCCGGAAGTCACGGGTCGATAATCAAAGCATCTCTACTCTTGGTATGGTAGCAAAAAACTTTGTTTTTTGCAGACCCCCAGTAAAAATGAACAGAACCAAAAAACTAAAAAAACAAAAAAAACATGCCAAGAACAGTGAAGAAGGTGGATGTTGCCCAAAGGCACCCACCAAATCCAGAGCCATGGATTCCCACTGGGCCCCTTGAGTCATGACCAAAACCTGGTGGATCTACAAAGGCCGCAGCCGGTTGGGAAATGTATCCCGCTGGCGTCATTTTCTTGAGGGTACTCCGTTTGGGGTGTTGTTTGCTTTTTGTTTTTTTCCGTGAGAAGCCACAAGGACCACATTTTGGGCAGGGTTGGGTCAACCCAATATTTGTGTTGAAGCCTCTAATCTTTGAACATGTTTGAACAACCTCATGTTGGTGCCCTTTGGGGTCTGATTCGTTCCACCAATTTTGCCCAATGATTCCGTGTTGAAAGCCCATTTGCCACTACAAAGGGAGTATATACCCGATTCCTCCTACATACAATAGTTATTTGAAAGTGGAACCTTCTTACATGGTCAATGTTCAACCCTAAGCTTAGGATCTTAGTCTGCCTCAAATACCTGATTTGTTCAGTGCAGATTTGAACACCTAGTTTTCCATGGGTAGAAGCACTTCCTTTTTCGTCAGGGTTGACATCCTACCCCCAAAAAAAGGGCTGAAAAAAGGCGGGTATTTGGAGACTGCGGGGGTTGAATTCTGAGCCAAAGCTTTACTTGAACACTGAAATATCTTTTGGACCTTGGGGTGAAACTCTGCAGCATCAGCATTGAATGGCAGGTCTAAAATTAGTTCGCCTGGAAATGGCATTCCTTTGGGTTGTCCTTGCATCACAAATGAAAAGGTTTTCCACAGTTTCCAACGAGACTGGTCGTATTTGGGCTCGGAGCCCGGCGCAAAGCGCCGGCAAGGAAGATGCGGTCGCTGCGAGTCTTCACGCGATCCTGGCGCCTGGGCGATAGTACCTGCACGAGAGGCGTGCGAGAGACTGGGGGGGGGGTTCGCGACAAGAGTCGCGGGGTTGGTTGGTCCTTGGATATGCGTTTTCCCTATGAAACAGCTTACTTTGAAGTGGTTGCTCATTTTTCTTGCTTTGTTTTCTTTGGGGCTGTTTACAACATTATTTCGGGCGCGTTTCCCTGGAACGCACCATTTAGAGGGTAGTTGTCAGGATGGCAATTTCGGCTGGGGCCAAAGTGAAATTCCACAACTTCCTGCGGATTTAGAGGCTCTCCTTGTGACGGTGGCTTTTGGATGCATCCTTTCATCGTCGATTTCAGGAACGGATGTGTCTCTCTAAATTGAGAACCCGAAATCATATGTGTTTCCTCTCAAAAAGGTGAAACGGGTGCTTGAGCATCAAAACGGTTGGCTTTCTTCTGATTTCCCAAAGGAAACAAACAGCATTATTCCCCGCCCCGCAAAAAAGGCAACTGGTCAAACAAACAAAGAAACCAAACAGGGAAACTCTACAGGAAGATAGCCAAATCCCCCCCCCCCCACATTAGTGAGCGCGTAGAAATTCCGCTTTTGCTGGTTTAATGCAAACAAAGAATCCTGGTGCACGTTGGCTGCATTCAGGACTCTCACTGCCCTCTGACCATGAAGCCACAAGGTAACCCGAATGCATAAGCTTCCACCCACGTTTCTTTGATTAATTCACGCACGGGATCTTAACATCCTGCTTTCAGTTCAATACGTGCTTCCAGTTCAGCCGAACGAAGCCAGATGAAAGGTTGCCAAATCGACCTCATGGAACACCAGCAACGTTCCTCGTCTGATCTAACTGGGACACTGACAAATGTTGCGGTGCTTACCCTGGGAATTGAGCAAACTTGAATACTTTCGACCCTCCAAAATGCTTGGACATAAACCCCTTGACAGGAGCTCCCTTAACGGTCTCCCTGTCCAGTCAGCTTCCATCTGCACAAGTTGGCTTGCGCTCCTTCTGCCCCCAATCGGCGAGCTCGCAAAAAATTGGGCAGTTTCATGGCAACGCGAGGATGTAGTCTTTGGTTTTCCTTCTACATCAACCTAAACTATGCTTGCCATCTCAAAGATCAACCCCAACGAACATCAACCTCCATCTCCCCACCTACTCGATTCCCCGTTTCGCTTTTTGACGTTCCCGGCAAGCGGCAACCACTTAAGCCCACCTCCTTGCCGGCCCGTCGTGACGGCCGCGAGGGCGAGGATGGGAACGCCTGCGATGCCTCGCCCTCCCTGAGCGAGCGCGGTTTTAGTGGAGTTGCCGTGTTTGGAGCCAGACACAACTTGCTGGTGCGATAGACAGGGAATGACCACTATAAACCATCCCCTTTAAGGGGAACCCTTGCTTAGTTCATTCCCACCTTCCCTACCAATTGTTTGGGGTAGTTGCTGGTGAGCAACCAAAATTGGTATGCTTCAGGTACCTGTGCTATCAAAAGCTACCAGTGTTACCAAAATCGGGTGCCAAACAAATTGGTCCATTGAAATAACAGACCTTATCTTGCTGGTGCGATAGGCAGGGAATGAAAAATGGAATGACCCCGAGATAGACGATCGAACCTATGGTTTCCTTTAAGGGGAACCCTGGGTTCATTCCCACATTCCCTATCGCACCAGCAAGACAAAAGGGTACTCTCTCCATGGCATCTGACAGGGGGTCCCTCCAAAGAGACCTTGATCTTGCGGGTAACCTCCAGGTGCCATGTTGGTGGGAGGAGGGGCAACCAGAAGTTATGAATAGAAAGGCGAACCTTTTGGGGTCACACAAATGGACCAAAGGGGGGACCCATAGATAGAAGAGCAACCTTTTGGGGCCACACCAAAAAAACAAGGGGACACCAAAAAGGTCATTTCAGGTCAATTCGCTATGGGCAAGCGAAGTTATTACACACAAATGATTCTCCCGCGAGGCAATTTGGTTCAACATTCCCCCCTTGGTGGAAGTTCCCTCCTTTCCACAGAACGGAAAACCCACCTGCAAAAAAATGGTCATTCCATGTCATTCCCACGAGGCTTCCCTCGGTATTATCTTGCCCTCCACGAACCTGACAAAAGGGGGGTCCAGGGAACCCGTTTTCCTCAGGGACGTGATGGATTCCATGGAAGGGTACTTTTTCGCAGTGTTTGCAAAGGAAATGAAGGGACACCAAAGAGGAACCCAATCCTTTTGATGGGGGTTCCGCCATATAGAGACAAGTCCATGATAGTCCATGGTTCAATGCTTCATATGGGAAGCGCCATCTGGAAAACACCGGTAATACTTTAGTGTCTGTGGAAGCAACTGAGAAAGCACGGAGAAAGGACACGAAAGGTAAAGGTAGAGGGACCCCATCTCAAAAGGGGTGGGTGGGAAAATCCTGAATCAGCAACGGCTGTGTAATTTTGTCCGCTCACGCTAGATAGCGCATCGTTTGCCTGGGGACTGGGGACCAACTCCGACTCCTGAAGCGACCAATCGCGCCAGTCGTCCCTTCCACTGAGCTATACCTTTGCGAGTTTTGTTTTTTAAAGCCTGCTGCGAACTCAGTCCCTCATTTTGGTCGCCCATCCGCCACCTCTCAGCTCTTTTGGTTGCAGCCGTTTTCTCCGAATCTCCGGGTGGCCCTTCCCCCGTCTTTCCGTCCGCGTCAACGCGCGACTCTGAAGCCCAAACGCGAGCCTTCGGATCTCGAACTCCCCAGGGATGCCGGGCCCGCAGGCGCACCTTCCCGCGAACCACTAGTTCGAGCGCTAGGTCGAGCCAGGGGAACATTCTTGGGGGGTGTCGGGGAAAACCAAGAAAAACATGGGAGCCAGTTGAAAAACATGAGGGGTCCGGGGGGGGAAACAAACACCAAACATCATATCTCGAGACAAACACATTTCAGGGGTCCCGGCTTGAGAACCAAAATTTGCCACTACAAGGATACACCTTTGTTCCCCTGTGGTTTGTGGGTTGAAGCCTTCTTGTTTGACCAACGCTCAGCCTTGAATCTAGGTATCAGATGGTACCAAGCGTTGCCCCAGCTTTGGCTTCCCTTTGGCTTAAACCTAAACCACTCACTCAAAGACAAGCCAGCTGCCCCTATGGCTTCATGGTCCACCTGTCATTGGAAACAACTATTCCCAGTTTGCCGCTTCATATCTTAGAAGGGGGAGCCCGCAAGTTCCACACCGGCACCTAGATCTCCCAGCCGTGTCTTACGGTGGCTCTCTTTGTTCAAATTTGGAACCCTGATGGGGGCAAAGCTCGCTGCGTTTGCCTCTTAAACGTCTGCCCAAGAGGAACATCAATCACAGAGGGTCCAACAAGTGATGTTTCGACAGGCTGTCGAGAATATAGGGAAGTCAGCAGAAAGAAAAAAGGAGTTCCCATCTGAGACAAATCCATTGTCATTCACTTGCTGCTTCCATATATATATATATACATATATATATATATATATACCTGAACGACCAAAGTTGCTGGTTTTTTCGTACAACTTTAAAAGTTTGCCCGTTTTTCCAAAAGTTGTGCAACAAATCACATCTTTCCTAAAAACATACAACTTTCACTGAAAAGCTACAACTTTCGACTTTGTGCGAAAGGGTGTGCTGAAAGGGGGACAATCGTGCATTGCGGGCGCTATGAGAGCGCATTAACGAATGGTTTTGAGCGCACCCCTATATTTTGGGCTCTTGTTTTGTTTCTGTATTGTTCCTGCGTGCGAAAGCTGCTCGGTTGCTCAGTTCTTATGAAGTCTGCTGCTCTGACAGCTTATGTTTGTGTGCAAAAAAGAATCATAAACAAATCTATACATTTAAGGCCACATCATTTTGGTGATCCTGCCCGAAAATTACGATGCAGCCTGCGCATGTCAAATTCAACTGAGGTTGTTCTAAGTCTATGCAACTTGCACAACATACAACATCAACATGTTCGGGACCATGGCACTCAGCAATCGCAATGCTGAACATGAACACCCGAGGTGCGGTGAACAGAGCCGGCAATTGTTTGTCTCCACTCAGCAAACGACGTGTGATCTCACATTGAAATTGATGGTAGGAGGTATTTTTGTTCACATACGGGCAACGCTGCCAAGAGGCAGATATGATTGTGAATTGTTTTGTGTTTGAGAATTGGGCAAATTTTGGGGGGCATCGCCGGTGTTCATCCAAATGCAACGGGTGCGAAGAAAACATCTAATCATGTGTTCACCTGTGTGTTATCGCATCTTTTAAAGCCAGTCGCACAAAGTCGATGCCACCGAGTGCCCACCGACGATCCCTTTTGAGTAATTGTGGGGCAACTGCGTGGGAAATTGCGCCGCTCGCAAGAACAACGAAGCGTAAAGTGGTGTGTTTTTCGCGTGAAAGTGGAGTAATTTGCCATGCTTGCCAAACAATTGCCATTTTCGCAAGTTCTCAGATCCACTTGCGCCCCTTGGCCTCGGAAACCGACAAGATGTTACTTTGCAATTCCAGAGTTTTGCTTGAAGTGTTTTCATGGTGGAGTCGGGCAGTTTGCTTAAAGTGTGGTAGAAGCCACGGGTCGCAAAGGTGGAAAGCTTTATGCCTCACAGCGACAAACAACAATGGGCGTCACGCTGAAAGCTGTTCTCAGGCCGCTTCGCAAATGGCAAAGTACAAAAGTGGCTGGCGTGGATAGATACAGGCAAATCATCCGTCGGATGAATCTGAAAGATATTGTTCAAGCTCATGCAAATAATAGTCAAAAGCTCTCCGCCTCAACTTTCATGATTCCTCCTCTTTCCATCGCAAGCTTCCTGCAGCGGAGGTTAACAGGAGACATCATGCTCAAAGCTGGAAGTTTGCGTTGTTCACGGCTAGCTAAAAACAAGAAGGAGTGTCGACACTGTCTGACTGTGCGACTGATAGTTGCACCAACCAGCGTGGTTGTACGAACAGCGTCACACTTGTCACCCACGAGCGGTTCAGCCAACGCAGCGCGGAAATTTCGGGCGCTGACGGTGACCCGCCCATCAAATCGCTGAAAACACAAGAACACCAAGATTTGCAGCGCTCGCAAACACAACAGAACAGTTGCTGGGCAAGCAACTATCGTCCAACATGAGGACAACTTTTCTGGTTCCTGCTACAAAGGAGTCGTTGCAATTAGACTAGCTGCCTTAGCCCAGTCGGCGAATTAAAAACACACCACTATTTCAACAGTTGTGTAAGTTTTCGCAAACTTTCGTTGGTGCCCCATTTTTTCCAGCAACTTGGTTTTCCAGGTACATGTATATGCACCCAGGTCGCACATATATATATATATATATACACATCGCCCTTGCCATTGTGTGAAAACCAGTTACCGCCGATCAAGCCTGCACCAACAAACAAAACATAGACGCTAACCTCTTGGTACGACTAAATGGATATGTGTTTTTTGAGAGTATGCTCTTGGAGACTTAAAGGGAAACCAAAACTAAACCAAACACTCTTCTGGCGTGCCCTTTCAGCCACAGGCAAATCCAACCAAACATTGGAATCCAGGCTGGATTATCAATTGGACTCTGTCAAGCGCCCTTCGGCTCAAGGGAAACAAACATCTTCACGCAAACCAGTTGAGCGTGTCTTGTCTTTGAACTTGGACTCCCAAAATGGTGGTTGTTCTGTTGTTTCCCTCCAAAGCCACAAAAATGGGTAGCCTCAAAAAAAGAACACAGGTAGAAGCTGGGGTTTACAGCATAAGTTTTTTTCCCGTCGGTCCCATCTGCCTGCAAAACAGGTGACCCATCCTCGGCCAGTGGGTAGGGTGCTGGGATTGAAGTGACATCCTCCCCAAAATTTGGCCTCTAACTGATTGGCAGGGACACCTCCCACCCAACTGGACAGTCCTCCTGAGGACCTTTCACAATATGATCGTTCATAGGCGCACCTCCTACCCCCCAACCCGAAAACTTTCACATGGAGAAGCTTTCAGAATGCCTTGCCACTTTGAGGGAGGGGGCAACAACCATCTATGGCTTTTGAGTGCAGGTCTCTAAGTATGCCAACCCGAAAAAGGAGCCTTGGGAATTGTCCTTTCCTTTCAAAAGAACAGGGGTTTCCTAATTTCAGTGTGAATCGAAATGGATGTCGGACCCACTGGTCCTAAAGAAAAGCATGAAGATATGAGCATATTCCAAGGCGGCAAGTGTAGCATGGCCCTAAACCTTCGGAGGTTTGGAAGCCTTGCCTCGTTCTCTGCGAATCACTCTGGAAAAGGGTGCACTTGGGGCCAGGATTTTGGCGCTTCCAGTGGAAAGGTGTAGGTCAACTGAAGCCAAAAAAAAGGACCATCCAGTTGCGCGACTTTTGAGACTCCGTCAACAAAGGCAAGATTCACGTTGGACTCTCATTCTGTTCTGTCAATTCATCCACACTCCGCAAGGTTCGTGGTTCATACCTGGGCAAATGAAACATCTTTAGATTATCTTGCTGGTGCAATAGGTAGGGAATGTTGGAATGAACTAAGCTAGGGGTCCTCTTAAAGGAAACCACAATATGGTTTATGGGGTTCATTCCCTCATTCCCTGCTGAGCACCAGCAAGTTCTGTCGCAAAAAAAAGAAGCGCATATGAAATAGTTTTGGGGGGCCAAGAGTTAGGCAAACCAATTGAAGCAAGCGGTGGGAGCTCACCCCGAACCTTTCCACCCCTGCCTTTGGGATGCTGAAAATGGAGGGTTGGCCCATCCGATTTTCCATGATCCCTTTGGGGAAGCCACTACAAAGCGGACTTGGGGCGTGACCCAAGGCAAAAGGATCAAGGATTACCTTTGAACAGCCCAGCTTCCTAACCCCTGCCTTTCTTTCTCTCAGGGGCCTTTGGGGTAAGCTGGAGTGAATGCCATCCTGAGAAGCGTGCCCGAACTAAGCCATCGCGGGCAAACCCATGTGACTCTAAGAGTCACATATCCGGCTGTTAACAAGCGAAATGCGTTGAGCTGTCGAATTCACGGATATGTTGATTGGTTCAGTGATTTTGCCTTTGCGTGATCACTTGGAAACATATTTGCAGCAGGGGTGGACATGGCAACTGGACTGATGAGGTATTGGCATTTCGAGCCCTTGATGCGTGTCAGTGGCACTTCGCACACTGCCAGGCTTGAGCCAGAAAACGGGACAGGTGCGATGTGGGCGAATTGGGAGCCACGCTCAAAACCCATTAACTTTGGTACCCACATGAACACAAAGGTTTAGAAAGGGCTTGATCAAACCAACGAAACTTGCCACGGGTGGTGGCGTTTCTCCGAAACGCACAAGGAATCACCCAACAATTCGTCAAAACAGACTCGGCCTCAGAAGCGGCAAGCCGAACCCATCTGGTAGTTTGCTCTCAAGCATATGCACAAAACCAGCCATCCATCCCGCAGAAAACCAGCGAGCCAGCGAGCGAGCCATGTCCTGCTGGTTGGCAACCCACAGCTGGGCAAACTCAAAGAGTCGCCTCAGTGCGAAAGACCCCGGACTCCCCCCCCCATTTTGTTGAGGCCTCTGAAGGCATTCCCATGATTTGTTCCGTGTTTGTCCTGCCACTAGGAATTGACAACTTCAACTTGGCGGCTGTTCGCCCTTTGAGAAGAAGAACGAGACGCAATAGAGAACCCAAAGTGGTATTGGGGTACAGTATATAGGTATGGTAGGTGTGAAAATAGGGTGGCCACCAAAAGGACAAGGGGACCCTCAATACCACAAATACGCACAAACACACGCACAAACACACGCGCACGCCCACGCGCACGCCCACCCACACACAGACACACAGACACACAGACACACATAGACACATAGACACCAACACACAAACAAACCCAAACACAAACACAAACACACAAACAAACAAACACACAAACACACAGACACACAGACACACAGACACACACACACACAGACACACAGACACACAGACACACAGACAGACACACAAACACACATAGACACATAGACACATAGACACAAACACACAAACAAACAAACAAACAAACAAACAAACAAACAAACAAACAAACAAACAAACAAACAAACAAACAAACACACACACACAAACACACAAACACACAAACACACAAACACACAAACACACAACACACAAACAAACAAACAAACAAACAAACCAACAAACAAACAAACAAACAAGCAAACAAGCAAACAAGCACGCAAGAACGCAAGCACGCAAGCACGCAAGCACGCAAGCAAGCACACAAGCACGCAAGCACGCAAGCAAGCAAGCACACACGCACGCACGCACGCACGCACGCACGCACGCACGCACGCACGCTCGCACACACGCACGCACGCACGCACGCACTCGCCCAGGCGCCCACGCACCCACGCACCCACGCACCCACGCACCCACGCACCCACCCACGCACCCACGCACCCGCGCACCCACGCACCCATGCAGGCACGCATGCACGCACGCACCCACGCACGCACCCACGCACCCATGCACGCATGCACGCACCCGCACCCACGCACCCACGCACCCACGCACCCACGCACCCACGCATCCACGCACCCACCCACACACACACACGCACAAAAAGAAAGGCAAAACACACACACACACACACACCAGAAAAGCACAAAACAAAAATGTGTATGCACTCACCACTTTGCCAAGCAGACACTCACTTTCATTGGGTTTGCACCAAAACTAGACCTCCAGGGCTGGTATCCATGTGGTGTTCTTTTAAAGGCAACCAACAGAAGGTTTCCCAGCAAAAGCAAACACAAGCAAGTAAGCAAGCAAGCAAGCAAGCAAGCAAGCAATCAAGCCAGCCAGTTAGCAAGCAAGCAAGCAAGCAAGCAAGCAAGCAAGCAAGCAAGCAAGCAAGCAAGCAAGCAAGGAAGCAGGCAAGCAAGCAAGCAAGCAAGCAATGAAGGAAGCAAGCAAGCAAGGAAGCAGGCAAGCAAGCAAGCAAGCAAGCAATGAAGGAGGCAAGCAAACACACACACACATACATTTGGCCCAAAGCTGACGTTTCAATCACCCCTGAGGGAAACCAGTGCTGCACCTTGGCCCCTTCCCTTCGAAAGTTTGTTTCTTCCCAACGAAAGCGTGGAGCTCCACGAGCATCATGGCACAAACACGTGCAAAGGAGCGACGCAGCATGTTCCGCAACCAGCTGTAGATCGACAGTGCTCTGTTGGGAAGAAATGCCTACAGAAGAGCACAGTGTTGATGCGAGCAAGCCCTTTTCAAATTACTGGGCAAAGTGCGATGACAGCTGACACTTGACGAATGGTTGAACAAGCCACCTTCCCCACAAACGTGCCCCGCGCGCCTTCATAAGGACGTAGCTGATGCGTGGCACTGTTTCAGGAACTTAACCCAAAATCGAACGACTTCACAAACAACGTTTTTGTGACAGTTTTTAATACGTGAACCAATGTAAGGATGGTCGTGCCTGATGAGATGTATGAGGTGTGTTTTGGGGAAAAGGATGTTCTGCCATGTTGTGCCCATGGTATTGCTCGTGAAAAAATAAAACAAGACACATGGTAATATTTATGCAGCAAATTGTGAGATATGTCGGTTGGCGGTTTTGGAAGGTTCAGGTGGTAAACATTGCTTAAGGTGTCCAACGTGTAGGAAGGTAGAAGATGCAACGGAATTTGGGGAAGGTAAGAAATGGTGCAAAGTGTGTATTGCAAGGAAAAGTGCCTACAGATTGAAAGAGGAAGACTGCCCAGTATGTAATTGAAAAATCCATTGCAACTGGAGACAACAGTACCAAAAACAAAAGGGCCCCTGAACAATCTGCCAAACAATGAGGGAACACAACTGCTTAACTTTCATAACCATGCTATTATTATGAATGGTAAGGATGTTTTATAAGCATCGTGTTTGACATGGGCGGTTGAGGAGATTCTATTATTCTCTTGGTATACCCTCTTCTATTCCTCAGTATTCGCTTCAGATTCCCCAAGTATTCCCTCAGTCCTACTATTTTCCTAGCATTCACCCTCAGTACTTCGCTGGTATTTCTTTGGTAGTCCCTTAGTGTTGCCCTTGGCATTTCATCGGGCATTCCCATGTTCCTTTCGTATTCTCTTCAGGGGGGGACTTCGCCTTCTCGGACACAAATGAGGACAGTCAAAGTCAGCACCCTATACGATTCAGCAAAGCGTGCCAAAAAACAGGCTGTTGGACACCTTTCCGGATATCGAGTGAAAAAAGGATCCGCCAAAATGCCTCAAATCGGAGGGTTCAGGCTCCGAAAAACTTGATTCTGGCAACTGCTTGAATCATCCATACCCTTGGGATGGGCGTTCCGAAGGGAAACCCATCAAACAAAACCAAAAACGGACCCCCACATACAAACGGACCTCACCCCCCGCAAAAAAGAAGAAGAAGCAAAAGCCAAAAACAAACAATGAACAAAAGCCACAAACAACAACAAACCAAAAGCCACAAACAAACAAAAACCAACAACAGAAAACCCATTCAACAGAAACCGTCCCCCACGCGGACAGCTTGCCGCAAGTTGGGCGCCCCCACGGCACGGCGAGCTGATCCGCGAGGACCATCAGGTCCACGGAGTTCGACCTCGAAGATCCGAAGCTCCGAAGCTCCGAAGCTCCGAAGCTCCGGAGGTCCGGAGCTCCGGAGGTCGATGGCTCTGGGCAGCTCGTCTTTTTGTTCTTCTTTTGTTTTTTTTGTGCTTATTCCTTTCTTTTTTTCGCTTTTTGTTTTTCGTTGTTCCCCCCCCCCCCCGGAGGTGGTAGCCTTCTTGCGGTGCGTAGGTAGACCTTGGTTGACTGCTTTTTTTGCCGGAGTTGGGTAGCCTTGTTGCGGGACGCTTAAAGGGACACAAAAAAAAAAGCGATCCAAAACTAAAACCCACCGATTTTAAGACACTTTTTTTGAGTTGGCCCCTCTGTGGTTGTAAGGGAGAAACAAAAGGAGCTCAACCATTTTGGGGGTCCTAAAGACACAAGCACCCCAACTTGACTGAAGTTGCAGTGGATGGGATACCCAAACATGTGGGATCCCATTTCATTATATCCTCAAAATGGTTTATTGCCCCAATTTTATGGAGTGAATTGCCTTTTAAGAAACGCATAAGGGACCATGTATCACTTTTGGGCTGCCAAGGGCCCCATTCCGACTTCGGCTCACTTTTGTCAGCCTGCATCCGAGCTTGTGCAGCACGCGCTGCCAAATCCAGCGGCGGGCACTTTGCGCCGCTGAGTGCCCGAAGATGCAACACATCTCGACAGTGAGTAACATTCAGTCAGCATACTCCAGCCATTAGGTAAAGTTCGCAAGCAAGACTTGGACACAGATGCCCAGTGGCCAGGGGCATCCTTGTGGTGGGTTGACTTTCAAGGGGAACCCTTCCCAAACAGAGTTGAAAAAAGGACATTACTGGGCAACCGGGTGGAGACTGTGGACATGGGTGCGGCAACGGATTTCGGGGTCGTGCCGCTGATTGCCACTCAGGGGTTGGCACAAGACCGCTACGCAGCAGTCGAATTGCTGTCGCTCAAAGCAAGCCGATCATCCGCCACCAGACTGCGCCTCGGAAGTTGCCAGCTGTAATTCCTAACTTGGGGGTGTCCTTTTTTGGGGGACCCCAAAATGACGGTGTCCCTGTTGGTGGCCCTGCAACAGCAACCAGACAGGTACCCTCAAAGAGACACACCCAATTTGAGCCCCTTTTGAGGACCAGAAAGGGACCTGCCCAGGTTTCTACCATTCTTGGCCGGAGCCCTTTTTCTGCGCAAGGGCAGAAGGGGAGGGTAGGGCACTGGGGGGCCAAATGCTCTGCAAGAAGATGGCTTCAATCACTCCAAAACCACCCCAGGAGTTGAGTGGGATAGACAACCGCGGGAACCATCTCTCACATCCGTGGCCGGAGCCCACGAGAAGCCACTGCACGTAGTAGGCCACCATGTACACCAAGCCGGCCTCGCTCTGGCAAAGCCCAGCCTTTGGGCAAAATGGGTATGATTTTTCAGCTGGGGACCTTTTGGTTAACATCATTTAGGTAAATTCCGGCAGGGATTCGTGTCCACCAACTACTTTGGGGCGGCTCCTTGAATGGGATCATGGCCAAATCGATTTATCGGTGAATGACAAGCACCAAACCTCAGTGACAAATGCACTTTGGGTCCCAACGAAACGAACGTTGAAAATTCCACCGGCATCTATGTATTGCCGAAGGCACCTCAAAAGCACTCCTCAATGCTCGGGTTGCCACTTCCGCGCCGGACACCGGAAACCAGACCTAGGTCCTCCAGCAGAGAGCTTAGAATCAGGGTACCCACTTTTTTCTGTAGCCTATTTTAGTAGGGGTTTTCCTCCCGACCATAAAAGAAACGGTTAAAAAGGGCACTAATTGCTGGGGGTAAGACACACCGCTGGAAGAAATCGCCGGAAGCCGCCGGAGCGCCTTGTACCACTCCGGGCCCGTGATGTACTGCCCAGCGAAGAGCACCGCCGACTGCGCCGACGCCTCGCTCGCGCGCCGGGGGCTTCGCGATTTCCGAGGCGAAGCGCCCGTGTGCCGTGTAGACTGAGAGTCTATGTTGCAGATCTAAACCCTAAAAACCAATACCCGCAATTTCCAGACCATGGACACGAGTCTATGTTGCAGACTCAAACCCTTAAAAAACAATACCCTGAATGGAGGAGGTTGCAAAATAGATAAGTGTCCATCATACCCGTCCCCGAGTTTCGGGACCTGTTTCCAAGACCCTGTGGCAAAGAAAAACATAGAAAGTGCAAGGAGGCAGTGATGCTGAATCCCGAAGAATAAATGCACCCCCCTCCCCCCCCAAAAAAAAGAAAAACAAAAAACAGCAACAACTTGGAGGGTGTATCTATGAGGGTCCCCCGGTTTTGGCCAGTTCAGAACTGTTTCACATTGCGTTGTTTAGTATTGGGTTTCCAATCGGAAAACAGGGGGAACACTTTGGTTTGGACAAAAGTGTTTAGAATGCAACTTAAAGTAACAACCTTCAAAGGGAAGGCGCCATTGCTTTGTGTCAAAACAATAAATAATGCAAAGACCTTCTGAGGGAACCTGGTGAGGAGCCTAATAATACAAACCGCTTCCGCAAGGCAATCCTTTGGTGGCCCCTAATAGGCCCACTTTAAAATCCTTGGAAGCGGAGACAAGGAGCTACCCCACCAACTCTGGGTTAGATGGATTTTCAACAGGTAGTGTCGGATTCGCTTTTGGGCCTTGGGGTCGCTTTATCCAAAGAGGCTTACTGATCCACTGTCACTGTTTCGAGGTTCCCTTGACATAGAAAGTTGTTTGCCGGAAACAAACAAAAAGCAACAAGAGAGCCAAAAGATCGCGCAAACAAACCTGGGCAACAATCAAGGCAAAAAACATCTCCGGGCAACATGTGGAAATTTGTGTGTTTGAAGTGGACCCCAAACAATGGATTTTCCCAAACCGCCCTCTTTAAAAACCAAGGCCAAACAGTCGGGGTGTGGCTCAAACGGGACCCAAAATGGATCGGTTGCCCCGAAAAATGGGAAAGACTCAAACCTGCGGTCTGGTGGTTTAGTTTTGACTCATACCCAAAATGGGCTTGCCCTGAAAGATTCTGGAAAGACTACCACCTGCAGCATCCACGTCAATGGCAACCCATGTTTGCCTGTTTTTTAACCAGTGGTTTGCCCTGGACATATTTTGCCTCCGGCAACTTTTTTCATTTTGAGCCACTGGGCGCCGGGCGTATGGGGTCAAGGTCGCAAAGAGGTTGGACGCAAAGGCCAGAGCGAACACCGCTGGGATGGGCGGCGTGCCCGTCTCAACCTCAAGCAGATTTGCCGTGGGTCTCTCTGTGTTTTGTGCGAGTACCCTGTTTCTTCGGTTGGAGAAGAAACAAAAAAAAGGGAAACCTGAAGGGACCAATATTTTTAGGGTCCAGCTACGTTGAGGGTTCCCTGCAGTTCCTTGAACATCATCGCAAGAGGAGACTCACCTGACCTTGAACTGGTATTTCGAAAAGGGAGGCCCCAAAACCACAAGGGGACATAACTCGAAAACCCGAGTACCTCCCTGCAAGGAGAACAAAAGCAAGACGTGGAACCACCAAGACCCTTCTCTCCCAAGACAACTGGGGCTATTCGTGGAGCTCCATTCGCTTCCACCTCAAAAACCGTGATCCGTGACAAGCCAACATCCGAGTTCACCGCGCGAATACCGTGGGATTCTGGGTGCCCCACGAAGCAACTTGTGTCCATCTAGGCAAACAACTTCACCGAAAAATGAGACATTGGCGCCCTAAGTATGGGGTTTGAGGGCCGACTTCTGCTTTTTAAGGGGTTTGAGGGTCCAGGGTGCTTCTCCAACTAGGCATTTCCCTCCAATTTTTGTCTGTCTTTCCGCTGGTTTCCCCATAATTCAACGCCAACCAAAAGGCAGGTCCCTTCAATCCATCTCTCCCAGACACCTCCCACTGGTCCATCCCCCCCCATTCCTTCACGAGGCCCGCGCCAGCATCACCAGGAAGGGCTGATACAACGCGGAGACATGGGCCACCTCCGCCGAAATAAAACAACAAAACGCGCGCAGTGGGTTCCCAGGTCCGGGTTGAACCTATCTGATGCCAAGAGCGAGAAAAAGACTCAATAATATGTTGTTTAACAATGGTAGTAACACCCAAAATATGTCTAAACATGTTAACCAATGTTTTTCCCAATTGTCCATGATGTTTAATCATTTATTTGTTTAAGTAAAAAAAAAAAAAACGAAATGTTTTTTGAAGAACAACACCCAATGGCATTAGCCTGCCAACAAATTGTCAACACGCAATTGGGCTTAGGTTGGGTTTCGGGTTTAGGGTTCCCGAACAACTGAAACACCAGGGGGGTTGGTTCAACAGGCGCGCACTTGGGCCGTGCGCGCTGCATTCTTTTTTATTCGACCAGCAAACTCACACAAGACATGTGGGTAACCCCCAGACCTGCACAGACCCGAGATCCCGAGGCCTGGGAGGCGAAGACGTAGTGAATCAGCCAGTAGGCCGTCAAGATGGCCAAGAAAGCCGGAACCTGGCGAGCCGTCACAACCCCATAAACCTTTCCCCCGGCTTCTTGTAGGGTAAGCTGTCTGACGAGAATCCAATGGCCACGAGGTTCCAGTTGGAGCCAGGTTTGTCCCAGTCAGATCGGGCCTTATCCATCTCACCACTGGTGCAGGAGTTTGTCTATCCACTGTAAGAAGCACCCCTTGAGAGATGTAGCGAGATCAGAATCAAAGCACATCCACTTGGACCCTCTAGGACAAACTGGTTCTCGTTTGAACACCAGGTTCAGCTTGCCGGATTAAAGCTCAGTGTGTCCCACGTGTCCCACATAATCTTGAGTGGGCCACTCCCGAACAGAATCAAGGGAATTATTGCGTCAGAATTGTGTTGCTGGGTTGTTCTGTCGTTTCCCACGTTGACTCTGGATGTCCTGTTTTGTGGTGTATTCGCAATGGTCCAGTCTTTTGAGAGGAATGTGAACTTTGTTCTGTGTTCTGTTCCCGTCTTGGATTGTCCGCTTGGCTGAAGTGGAGACTCGGGGCTTTCGGATTGGAAATGGTGGGCTAGTAGGCTAATGGGCTGGGGTGTGGTTGGTTTACGGAGCAGTGTTCAGGAGCAGTGTTTAGTGTGGGTTAGCTTTGGCTCAGGATGGGTTATGTACGGGGTGCTCGGTGGTTTAGAGTGATCTAGATGTTATTTAGTCTGTTGGTTTCAGGATGAGTGGATCTGGCTGTGATTTGGGTTTTGGGTTTGGGGCGGGTTCAGAGTGTGTACGGTGGGTTGGATTGGGCACGGTTGGTTGATTTGGGGGGACTCACTCAGGTTTACGGTTGGCTGAGGGCTAGCTCAGCTTAAAGGAAAGTCGCCTCTAGAGCATTTGGGGCCCAAAGTTTTGACACCTACCAAAGCGCTCCCCGACCTACCTGACGCTTCCCCAAAAAAGGCCCTGGACACCTGGCATCATGAAATCCGTCCTTCGCTCCCCGTTGGTGTGAAGTGAAGGGGAGCAGCCACCAAGACCCACTGGCCTGTGGCGTCGAATCAAGCAGTCAGTCATTTTAGAGGTTGTAGATGAATGATGCAATCAGTGCTTCTTATGGCAAATGCTTGTTTGTGCTTCCTTTCTTCTGGTTACTGGTAAGTACCTCCCTTTTCAGTCAGGGGTTCACATCTAGGGATGATTCAAAAGCGGCATCCGCATGCATCCGCTGAATTTCCCTCCATGGTGGTTGAACAAGTGCCTCCCCTCCCAAACAAAATACATGAGATAATTTGAGAACTCTCAACATGTTCGCTTTACAAAGGTTTTCCACGCCCCCCCCCCAAAAAAAAATAATAATAATAATAATAAATAAATAAATAAATAAAATAAAATAAAAACAAAAAATAAAAGAAACAAATAACAAACACAAACAAAACACACACACACACATACATAATAAAATGAAATAATCTAACAATAAATAAATAAAAAATAAAAGGAGAACCTCTCCAACTACCTTGCCACTTTGAAGAACCCAGCTTCAGGCAGCTCATCTTCGCTCCTCCCGCCTCAGTCAGCCCGGCAGCTGTGATCTTTGAGGTCACCAGGGAGGAGAGCCATCTGAGCATCGCAGGCTGACGCAATTGCAGGCCGTTGTGAACTTGGCCATCGGTAACCTCCACTTTCGGTCCGTGGCCAGCGTTGCCGACCACATAACCATTCTGTTGTCTTATTTATTTTTGCTTCGAACCATGCCTCCAGGAATCGGTCACACACTTCGCATTGGGCTGTGTCGTCTGTTTTTGGGAGACCCCTTTTTCGGTGGTTTTAAAGGGAACTCACAAGGAAACCGTTGCCAACAGGGCTCCCAGTAAATTTTGAGGCACCCCCATGAGGCTTCCGGGTCCGGGTTCTCCGAGTGCTGCGCTGAACGATGCCCAGGCTTTTGAGCATCTCCGCCAGGCCTAAGGCTCCAACGAGGCAAAGGGGGGAGGGAGGAGGGTGTTTCAGCTCTTCTGGGGGGGGGAAAGGGGTATTAGGGGACAAAAGAATGGTAAGACCATGGGAAAGCAATTAAAATTGTTAAACTGCCAAAACCCAAAACCCGTGGTAAGCAATGGGAAAGGGTGGACATTCGCACCATGGCGAAGAACAGATTGACTATGGCTCGATCGCTACTTCCCCTCACAACGGATTTCGTGGATCCTGCGGAAGGGACAGCAGTAGAGGCTAAGTATACATTAGGCATACACGCCTCCAACGTTGATTCCTCATTATCTTCACCCGTCCTTCTGTTCAGAAACCATACGCTTTGCCCGTGCTTTAGGCAAGTTTCTGAAGAGAACAGCTTGAAACACTGAAAGAAACGTCCATACCGTTGACTTAACTGACCTCCAGATCTGCAGAGTGGATCCATGGTGAGGGATTTCTGCATAGATTGACTTAAGCCAAACCCTCGAAAAAGTGATGTTTCAAACAGGGGTGCAATTCAACCTCTGCAAGAAATCTAAAAAGTAACGGGGGGGGAGGCGGCAACCCCCCCATGATGTTTGAAGAAGAGTTGATTCAAATAGGGGTGCAACTACTCTGCAAACAATCTAAACAGTAGCGGGTGGGTTGGGGGGGGGGTTCCCCCCCATGATGTCCGAAGAAGTGATGATTCAAATAGGTGGTGGTGATGCTGATGATGCAACAAGCCAAATCCAAAAACCAATGAAAGGGCGCAAAAGCCAAAAAGCCCGAAGGATGCGAAAAGCCAAAGCCGTCAAAAAACCGCCAGCCGTCAAAAGCCGCATAAGCCAGCGAAAAGCCGGAAGTAGTTGTTGTTGTTATAGCGGTGGTAGTAGCAGCAATAGTAACAGTAGCAGTCGCAGTAGCAGTCGTGGCAGCAGTGGTAGTAGTAGTAGGAATAATAGTAGTAGTAGCAGTAGTAGTAGTACTAGTAAAGCAGTAGTAGCAGTAGTAGTAGCAGTAGCAGTAGCAGTAGCAGTAGTAGTAGCAGTAGTAGTAGTAGCAGCAGTAGTAGTAGCAGTAGTAGTAGTAGCAGCAGTGGTAGTAGTAGTAGTAGTAGTAGTAGTAGAAGCAGTAGTAGTAGTAGTAGTAGTAGTAGTAGTAGTAGTGGTAATGGTAGTGGTAGGAGTAGTAGTAGTAGTGGTGTAGTAGTAGTAGTAGTAGTAGTAGTAGCAGAAGAAGTAGGCGTAGTTGGCAGCAGCCTCGCCAGCCGTAGTGGTGGTAGCGCAGTATCAGTAGTATGGGTAGCGCTGGTGGTTGCTGTTGTGGAGCAGTATGCAACACAAGAAGTAAAAAAACATTAGCATCTAGCAGCATGCGTTTTGAAGGGGTATGACTAGGAGGTGATTCGGGGTATGATTCGGGGGTATGATTTGCCAAGGTCCCAGCTTCTGCCTGTTGAAGCAGCTTAACACAACCAAAAATGACAAACCCAGATATACAGCCCTGCTGCAGCGCAAATTGCATTTTGATTGTTGTAAACAGCAAAACGGTAAACACCCACCGACCTGTCAATTGACCCAAAGCTTTCCCGATATTGGCTGCCGAATTCCCACACCTCCACCCTTGAGTTCTGATGGAAACCCAGCAACTTGATGTGGCTTGAAACTCAAATGTCTGCCATTGCCCCATCTACTTTGCGCGCCATATGTCAGTATGAATTATGTTCTTCTTTGCTGTTTCTTTGGGGGGGGGGTGGAGAAATGTACCATTTACTTTGGTCAGAATCACTCCGAGAACATCCGATGACTCGCGATTCTTAGAAATACCGTCCCCCCATGTCTTTTGCAAACCAACAGTGGACTACCCAGTGTAGGAAACCCTCTCGGCAAGTGGTCACTAAATGTCAATGGTCAAAACTCGGCGTGATTCCTTTAGAAATCCTTCTGATTCTCATTCCCCCTTGGGAGGTCCATGACCAGCCCTATAATCATTTTGCGAGTGACAAAATGGCAGACATCCGAGTTCTATGTTCATTCCGATTTTGAGAAGCAATCAGACCGTTCGCAGACAATTCGATGGGAACCGATCCCGAGGCTTCCACCCACCAGCGTCGCGAAGGACACGAAGGTGCTCCAGGCTTGTTGGTTCGCCGCGCAGTCCTAGCGCCGCCGCCAACCCGCGCGAATTGGGAGAACTGACCTTGTTGTATACTCTTTTTTTTTAAAGATAAGAAATCAGACCCCATGGCAACGGTTTTCTTTTGGCTTCCTTGAAACCAAGGCGGATTTCTTCTTGGGGCGTGTTTGTTTGTGTGTGTGTGTGTTTCGTTGAGAATCTTCAGGCTGTTCCTGGTTTGATGGAAAACCAAAAGGAAGATGAACCATTTGTCGGGTTTTCTGATTTTGAGACACACACACACAGACCCATTTCAAAATGATGCGTTGACATAGGGGTCTGGTGTTGGGGGGGTGGGGTTGGACCCCCCGATTTTCTGCAGAAATTGGGCGGTGGCCCAACCCCATTTTTCATTAGAAAACGGCGGGCCGACCCCATCTTCATAAAACATGCTCAATGTAGAAAATGGGGGGGGGGGGGGCAACCTTAGTCCGATGTGGCGCTGGGCCGACCCCCAATAAAAGAACATGGGGGGCCCAACCTCACCATGAAAAAAACGGTAACGGAAGCGTGAGAAAAAGAACAGGGGACATCAATTTCAAACTTGGTAACTGTGGCGACACCCGCAGAAAGGGAACCTTAAAGCTCCCATCATGTTTCTTGGTGGGGTACCCCATGTCTGAGTCTCGGCTCAAGATGATTCTGAGATGGCAAGCCCAAGATTGGATGGCTTGTGGCTGGATTGAAGTGGCCTGGACCCTCAAACAGCAAACAATTATTTGTAGTTCTGTACTTGGCGTGTTTTCTTATTGCACGAAAGAAGCGCTTCTATGCCATTTGAGCCGCAGCATGGGCTTTTCTTTCTGGCTTCTTTTCCAACCAGCTGGCACCCAAATAGCCGCTCTTTTAGAAAATGGGGTCTTCCAACTCGGATTCTTTTAGAAACTGGGATCAACCAATCCAGACCGATACATTTCTATTTTTAGAAAATGCTGGGGGCCAACCCCACCATGGGAGGTGACATCCTTAGAAAACATAACCCCAAACTGGGCTCAACCCCCCCCATTCTCTAAATTGATGTCGAACGTGAGTCGTTGACTTTACCTTTGGCCGCAATTGGGTCCTAGGCTTTTGGCAGAAGGATTCTCAAAACGATCTTTTGGGATGGTTTCCCTTGAAACCACTTCAGAGGTTGAGTTTGAGGACGTCCCATCTAGGTTGACACTTGGGAATGCATGGGATTTTCTTTTTTGTGTTTTGAAAGAGTAACAATGGTAACGGAAACCGAAATTCATTTTGACCATCCTCTTGGTATATATCTGAACGGGTGTTGGGGGGTCGCACAGGAAACCAAGGTTAAAATGCAAATGGCCAAAAAGGGAAAGGGTACTGTCAGGGTGAAAGATTCATGAAATAATTGCCTGCAATGCGCAATGGGTGGACAACCAATGATGGTGCACAAATGAGTTGCACTAATGGAGCAACTTTGGACCACGTCAATGTTCCTGGAGCGATCCAGTTGCCATCTCTTTTTTCTTCTTCTAGCAACTGGGACTCTTTGGGGTAAAGTGTCTGGTCAAAAAGAGCAGCAACTTGGCTATCTAGGTTGCCGCCGAGTGATGATCTACCTTCCAGACGCTTTCTAAGCAACGGCCATTGCACCACGCTCTGGGTGAATGGGGACGCCCCATTGTGAAGCAGGGACCACCACCTCCCGAAGGACGTTTCGATTGGCCGGTTGGAATGGTCAACATCCGCATTGTGGAGCCGCCTTTAATCCATTATGCATCCTTTTAATCCCATCCAATTGAATCCTATGGTCCCAGAATACACCATTCCCCAAATAACGAACTCAATTGGCTCAATTCATCAGGTATTCCATAGGTTTCGAGCGATTCCACCGATTTGGGGGGCATCGAGCGAGCCAACGCCATGGTGCAGGTCGGGCGCCTTCTTTCAGGTTTTGGAATGCAACGAAAACCAGGAAGTAGGTCCCCTTGAGGGCTGCGATTCACACGTTCTTTTCAGGTTTAGCGTGAGGCGTGGGTAGAAAGTAGGTCTCAGCTTCAGTGTGAGGCATGGATGAGGGCTCTCTTTTCTTTCCTAGCCCCAGGTGGCTTTATCACCAGCCCCGTGAGGCCCCCCGATGAAAAACCGCCGCTCCTCCCAGGTGATGACCCCACACATCAGCAGCAACCCAAAGCCACAGAGCGCGGTGACCACGGGGGGGATGTGCAAAATCGAGGAAGATGCCCACAAAGCCACCATGCCTTGTTGGGGTCTCATGGTGTTTTTCGTTTTTAGGATTACCTTCCATGAGATTACCCATGAGATTGGCTTCCATGAGACTCATGGTGTTTTTAGGAACCATGGTGCTTATTCCCAACCATGAGATTACCTTCCTAGGCAATCCAAAAAATAGTGCCCCGACCCGAAACCAGGGACAGGCTCCGTAGAAAAGAATCGGAAGCATGTCGGAGAAAAGGATTTGCCACTTAAAGGAACCCACCAAAAAGAGGAAGGGAAAAGGATGACACTGAACAGCTGGGGAGGCTAGGAGGAGGTCAACACATGCACCTGCTTTGAAAGTCCTCAAAATTTTCTCACTTGCTCGTTGTGGCAAGTGGCCATCACTGCCAAGGTTGGCTTCCCCTGTGCCTTGTGTTAGGGTTTGGGCTTTTTAGGGCTTAGGGATTCTTAGGGATTAGGGTTTAGGGTTTGGGATTTTTAGGGTTTAGGGTTTATGGATGGATGATGGTGGATGATGGATGGAGGTTGGACGGATGGATGATGATGGGATGGAATGGATGGATGGGTGGAGTTGGATGGAGGGATGGATGGGTGGATGGATGGGTGGATGGATGTGTGGATGGATGGGTAATGTCAGGAGGCGAGTCAACCACGTTGTCAAGGCAGTTGGGGTTCGAAAGATGAGAATGCTACAGGTCACGTGCCGGACCTCATGTGCAATGGTGCGCGTGCAGCAAGCTATCTATAAGACAGATCCAGGGCAGTCTGCAGAAAACGAATATCCATGACTAGCGTAGTCCATCACCAAACTGCAACCAGTAATACTTGCAGCATCAAATAATCATTGTCCACCAAATACCTGCATCTCCAGAATAGTAGTCGCCGATGACGATTCTGTACGGAAACAAGAAAACATTCTGTGGTGACAAATGCAAGTCTCATGCAAATACTTTTGGATTGCCCAGGGTACCGTGCACGACGAGAACCACAAGGGCTGGCCATGATACCATGCACGATGAGTATCATGATCCCATTGTGTAAAAATGCAAATCCCAGTTGATCCCCCACATAGAAGAAATCGTAATGGAAATGCTTGATCATCAGTGTGATGATTCTGCGATGGCCTTTCTGCTCGTGGAGCCACCGGAACCTTTCTAGCAGAGAGTGTGGTGTCTCCTCGGTCGGATTGATCTTCTCGATGTAACGCGAGGGCAGCTGTATATTGCGAGTAAAGCACCACTGGATAAGAGGAGTGTCAACCTCTTTGACGCTTTGAACGCAAATGATGGCACCAAGTTCAATTTTCAAGAACTTGCGTCCAATGAGCAGATATCTGTTCGGTAGAAGGTCATGTAGTCGCAATTGAGGCCAAGGGCAATGCATCGGAATATCGTGTCGCTGACGAAGGCAATGTTCTTCTGGTGGCTGACACCCCTGAACTGCTCTGCTTTGATACCAAGTATATGCAGGCGGTCCAAATTCGATACATAATGTGTAGCCCTTTCAGCTTCAGGAACCAAAAGAACATCTCTTCGTCCCTGTGGCTCGCGCTTTTGAACCTCACATTTCTAAATTTAGGAGCGGCAGCGACTTCGTCATAGGTAGGCGGGATTGGAATGTTCTGTTCGTCGACCTCGTTGGAAATCCAATCGTCCCTCCCATTGATTGCGATGTAGGCAAACGCTGTGTACTCAATGTGCTGCCAATAGGGAAAACTTGTGTCTCTGTTCTGCATGTTCATGACCTCCAAATCTAATTCCTTTGGCAGCGTGCGGGTCATACATGAATATCCTTGTACACCTCCGCAAACTGCTTCATCACCGGGTTGAGGAATCACAGAGGGGCTTGCTCCACCAAAGAAATCGAGATCATTCCACTTCATCAAGCATTCCTGTTGGGAGAGATGGTTCGTGATGGCCTTCATGAAGTTGCTGCGCCATGATACCGAGTATCCGGCGCCCCTTGGGACTTGTGTGGTCTTCATGGAGAAATACGCAGATGTTGCATACAATGCAGGCACGCCGGCTTCCGCAATCCATCTCGCAGCAATCGCTTCCGAGCATTCTTCTACCTACTCGTAGCCCCGCCACATACTTCTCGACCAGTGATGCACAATAGAAAGCCCCGTGTCTGGCCGTCGATGGAGAAAAGAAAAGGTACTCTTCCGAGTTGATGAAGTCATCCCCCATCTTGAAGATGTACAGCTCCGCGATCCAGCAAAGTTGTAGACAAAGGAATATGCTAAAGCACCACCGCAGAAAAGATCCAATCACTCCAGATTTCCCTGATCCGGGCGGGGTGCACGACCACCACCCTTCAACAGGTAGTCCAGATTTCCCTGATCCAGCCGGGGTACACGACCACCACCTTTCAACAGGTAATCCGAGAGCGATATGTAACCGACACTCACCTTGTTCTTATTGGCTTGAAGCAGAAACGCAGCTGCAGTCGTAGAAGAGTAGACGGCTCAACGAAACCATTGAATATGCAAGGTGACGCCAGGTTCACTCCATGAAGTCGCGAACATTTGGCTCGAGCAGCAAAACGGCGCAGAATAACATTGACAATTAGTGAAGTGTACAGTTGGTATCCTTGGTTTCCCTACCAGCACAAGGTCCATGACTGTGGTTGCCATTGCACTTCTTAGAAAGGGATTTGCCCAGGTCAAAGTTCCAAGAAATGACACGCCAGGGTTTCCGAATCTGGCAGGGGTTTCTCGGTGTACCTTTGCTTCAAGCCGTACCTACACCCGTCAAATTCATGCGATTCTCCGTGCATGATCTGCTTCTTCAACCTCTCCTCGTTCCAATACTCGCAGCCTTTGGGAAGTTCAAAGAGTATGGCGGCTTTCTTGGATTCGGCATGCCGCTTCAGTTGGGAAAACACTTTGAACAACTTCCAAAATTCAAGCTGTTTGTTTTGGATGCGTTTGCTTGTTGTTGGTCCTCGTGTTATGTTCAATCTCGCCCATGATGATCCTCCCGTGCAGGGTCCAGCAAAAAATAACATGTCACTCGTTTTGGTGATGGCGTGCTTGGCGAGGTTGTCCCCGTACTGGGATAGCAGGTCATCCTGAAGTACGTGCCAGCCTTGTGAAAGCGCAGTAATGCGCGATTCCGAACACGCCATGACAACCATTGGTTTGTTGGGGTCCAGTGCAACGAGGGTGACCTCTGTGCCAGTAGCCAAACCAGGTACATAGGCATAGCCAGGCAAGCCAAGTACGGTACCATTGTGATTCACAAAACGCAATGTAATATTTGCATTGGGATCAGCAGGTCCCTCATGGTTGCGGACTGCAATTCTGTATGGGACAAAGAAACGATGGTTGTCCTTTTTCACGGTGATGGGATGGTCTTGTTCTCCTGAGTGATCTTTGACGGACTGGAGCCTGTAGGCGACTTCGATTGCCCTTTTTCCTTTCTCACAGGACTCATGACGCCCTTCGCGCTCCTTCTCAGTGTCGGTAATGAAGCTGATGACGATCTCCTCTTTTCTCCGTCCTTGAGCCACACGGCATGACCAACTTCCTTCCAAGATGAATGTGATAGGTCGTGGCTAATACCAGAACTTGCACTTTGTTGAGTGTCCGGAGAGTCTGCGAGCGCCGGCACGGCAAGCAGACCTGTGGAACCACTGGAACTGTCATTTCCAAAGCTTGCAGTGAAACAAGCCGAATTGGGAAGCCCAATGCTGTGCAGCCTTGGACGGATGGGTAAATAGAGGGTGGCCGTATTGGGCCTTGGCCTATAAGTTGTGTATAGGGCTTGGTGAAAGCCAGCAGGGCCAATTGAAAAGTGATTTTGGTTGCGTGTCCAAATAAAGGTTGCTTCGGCTGGGCGGCCAGTAACCCTTTTCTCAACCAGCCCCAACAAGGGTAATGTTGACCCAGGTTGAATAAACCCATCCCATTATTAGGGGGGTGTTCCCTCCAAAAGTGATGAATCCCCGCTAAAAGGGGACACCCCCCCATTAATCAACCAGGGGTTTATTAATCCGGGGTTAACATTAACCCCACACAACACACGCGACAACTACTTAGCCCCCCGAAACCAGGGGAGAAAGAAACACCTGGAAAGCGGAAGGCGCGAATGTATGGCTGTGGTTGTCAAAACTCGGGTAACCCAAAAATGGGTTGCCGTGGTAAGAGGAACTTGCGGTCCATATCCTAGTGGTTGAATGTGACCCATACCCGAATGTCAACAAATGAAGCGACGCGAGAATTTCGCTACGACGCAGGTTCGTGAGCCCACTAGACTGCAGGCAGGACTCCGGCGATGGCGCGTGCAAAAGATCACTGCACAAATGCCTGATGGCCGTGCTGCGCAGCAAGATGCAAGGGTGTGAAGCCATCGTCCGTCGCCTTCTCTTTGTCAGCGCCGGCATTCAACTACCTGATGACCTTGATGTGCGGCAGTATTCGTCGCCTTCTCTTTGTAGCGCCAGCATCCAGCAGGCACTGCACAACCCCCTGATGGCCCTGAAGTGCAGCAAGCTGCGAAGGTGTGAAGCCATTATTGTCTGCCTGCTCTCTGTCAGCACCAGCGTCCAGCAAGCATTGCACAACTGCCTGATGGCCCTGAAGTGCAGCAAGATGCAAGGGTGTGGAGCCATCGTTGCTCGCCTTTTCTTTGTCAGCACCGGCGTCCAGCAAGCACTGCACAACTGCCTGATGGCCCTGTTGCGCAGCAAGATGCAAGGGTGTGGCGCCATCGTCAGTCGCCTTCTCTTTGTCAGCGCTGGCATTCAGCAAGCACTGCACAACTGCCTGATGGCCCTGTTGCGCAGCAAGATGCAAGGGTGTGGCGCCATCGTCTGTCGCTTTCTCTTTGTCAGCGCTGGCATTCAGCAAGCGTTGCACAACTGCCTGATGGCCGTGCCGCGCAGCAAGATGCAAGGGTGTGGCGCCATCGTCCGTCGCCTTCTCTTTGTCAGCACCGGCATCCAGCAAGCGCTGCACAACTGCCTGATGGCCCTGATGTGCAGCAAAATGCAAGGGTGTGAAGCCATCGTCCGTCGCCTTCTCCTTGTCAGCAACAGCGTCCAGCAAGCACTGCACAACTGCCTGATGGCCCCAACCTGCAGCAAAATGCAAGGGTGTGGAGCCAACGTTCGTCGCCTTCTCTTTGTCAGCGCCGGCGTCCAGCAAGCACTGCGCAACTGCCTGATGGCCCTGCTGCGCAGCAAGATGCAAGGGTGTGCCGCCATCGTTCGTCGCCTTCTCTTTGTCAGCGCTGGCATCCAGCAAGCATTGCACAACTGCCTGACGGCCCTCATGTGCAG